TTCTCCTCATTGTGATCATATATTGCACTCATGTTCAGAATATATGGTACGTACATGGTCTTTTATAAAACTGAATATATAGTGCATACATGTCCCCATATTATTGTGAATATATAGCGCATACATGTCCCCATATAATTGTGAATATATAGCGCATACATGTCCCCATATCATTGTGAATATATAGTACATGCTTGTCCCCATATAATTGTGAATATATACTACATATATGTCCCCATATAAATCTGAATATAGAGTACATACATGTCCCCATATAATTGTAAATATATAATACATACATGTCTCCATATACATCTGAATATAGAGTACATACATGTCCCCATATAAATGTTAATATATAGTAAATGTATGTTCACATATATACACAACCAATATATTATATATATTTACATATATTACTCAATATATGGAAAGAGGCAATTACTGATGTATTATCCCATATATTGCAATATATTAACACAATATATTATTCTATATATCTTCAATATATTTTGTAGATATGAATAAATATGTTTTTCATGTTGATTATTAATCAGTATCAGTTGGTGTAGCCAACAGCAAGATTTCCTTTTCCTTTATTTCAATTATCCAGTAAATCAGAAAACAAAATAATGCAATATATTGACAGTTAATATATGGGGAAATATATTTTCTTTGCGTAAGGGTAGAGTCTATTTCGAGGAGGGGCAGGACTTTGTCTCTTTTCACATTCACTTCTGGTAGAGAGACTATGAAAGACTTCCTGTGGGTGAGGTTGTTTCTAAACTTAAACTTGAATTCCTCCAGAACACTCCAGCACTGCAGTTCAACTATTTGGTTAAAGCTGTTACACACATTTTCATATGAAATATTGGTGAGAAGGCCCATGGCTTATAAAGTGAGTATGACGCATGCAATTGTATCTCCTTTTTAAAACTGTATGCACTTTCTTTTTTTGGAAAGACTTCATGCAGCAGTCTTTAGAGAAGCATCAATAATTACTGACCATTTGTGAAGAATCACACGCCCACAGGGTGATCTTATCTACCAGGAATTATATTTGAATACCGTATCTCTCTTCATCATTAGAGGATACCTAAACCAAGGTGTATAAAATGTGCTGTGTTAAAAGCAGTTCAGTTGTGTGAGCTTTGTGTAAAAGGGAAGGAAGCGCAGACTGTGTTAGAAATCGACTTCCGTGTCCAATATTACATTGCATTTGTTTCTCTGTAGTTCCTGATTTCTCTTCATATGCTGCAGTCTTGATCTTTCTATTTACACAAAGTAGAAGAATTTCTCAGAAACAGAGGAACAATTTATCAGTGTTGGATGTGAAGATGGGACACACTTTGCTCTCTCTACTGGGGTTTCTCTGTGAGTACTTTTAATGTTTGAATTGCCATTGATACAACTTTTTAAATGCCTGATGTTATGATACGTTTGATTTCTGTCAGCATGATAATGTCTGATGTAGTTTCATACTTGTTTCAGTGCTGAATTTACTTTACCGTGGACAAGCTCAAGGTGATTATACAATTGTATCTCTTTTTGTTTACCAACTAAAGTAAAATCTACCTATGTAACTCTCCAAACAACATCCTCTTTTTTCTGTGTTCCGTTTTGTCAATTTATTATAAATGTTTTGACAAAAAGAAAACACATTTTACTTCATGTATCTTGTGATGGTTTCTATATGCTGTGCTGTTCTTTGAGCCAAACTGGACCACTTTTTTCATCGGAGAGTCTGTTACCTTCAAGTGTGACATTACAGGAGACAAATACAGCGACTGGTATTACTCAATCCAAAGGGATGGCAGATTATTTCTCCCTAACCACAAATATGAGAGCTATAAATTCCCCTCAGCCTCAGGCTTCAGTGGTGAATACCAATGCTTTTTTCATCAGAAGGGCACAACAAAGGAAAGCAATACAATCTATCTAAATGTATCAGGTAAGTGATCAAAGTAATACCATCATGACCAAGTTCAATTAAAAACACTTTTTATTCATTTATGAACCATGTTGATATGAACACGCAGTTTGGACAAGTTCTACTATATAATCTGCATATTATTTTAATGTTTTAACGTTTGAACAGCTCCACTGATGCTGTATAGCCAGGTGAAGTATACTATACAATCCTGTGCTTTGTGTTATCACAAAATCACGAGTATTAAAATAAGAACAAAAAGACTGACAGGGATCACCTTCTTACCTCAAAGCATTTACATAAAGATAATACTTTACCAACAAACCATGTTATACTTTATTACATAACATGGTGACAAATAGATTTTGTTCCACATTGACAGTATCTGACTAAGTCATTTATCATCAGTTGACTTTTTTTGCTCTATATAAAATAAAATAAAAACTAGTATTTTGTTTTTTATTTATAAGGATAGTTCACCCTTACATTTGCTTTATACGTTTTTAGAAAATATGTAGAATCCAAGGAGTGCATGTAACCCACCAATTAGACTTCATAACTTTATCATTAAATCACTTTCCAACAGAAAGACCTCTGCCTGTCCTCACTGTGTCTCCATCATGGCCGAGTCCTGGAGCCTCAGTAACTCTGAACTGCAGTGTTGATCATCCTTCTACTGGCTGGAGCTTCTACTGGTATAAGGGTGTTCCCAATCTGTCAGGCAACTCTTACAGCTATGAGCTGCTACCTGGCAGCGAGAGTGGGACTAAACAGCATCTCTTCATCATTGATGGACAAACACACACAGCAGGATATTACTGCAGAGCAAGAAGAGGAGATCCAGTGTTTTACAGTTCGTACAGCAAACGCAAGTTTGTCTGGTCTGGAGGTCAGTATGTGGTTCCTTTTTCTTTCTTTCTTTAGTTAGCACAACAAATGTATTGATCAAAGTTTGTCTGCTCTGGAGTCCTTTTTGCTTTGACTTTTCCATTATTGCAAAATTGAATAAAGTCACTTATTTTGGGAACTTTTCTTTTACACCAGCATCAGGTCATATTTCAGTTTTCAAAACTATTCTCTAAAACAGAACGATAATTGACTGATTCATCTTTTGGACTGGACTGAATTTTAACACAAGTTCATCTCCTGACCCTCTTTTCATGCATGAAGTTGTTGTTCGCCATGGTTCAAACCTTAGACTTTGTAAATCCAAAACCTAATAATATAAGTACTTCTACAATACATTCTAATGAGATATAACTGGTAAGTGTTTTCTTAATTTTTTTAATTGGGAATATGTTTTAAGATATTTATCTGCTGGTTAAATGGTTTAAGACATAAACAATACATATGAGTAAAAGAATGTGTGTGGGATTGAGACACTGTGACATTCACTTTTGTTTTCCTCCTACTTTAGTTTGTTCCTGTTTTTTTTTTCAAGGTAAATTAAGTAGAAGTTTTGCTGTACCCATGCATTGTCTTTTTCAGTTTGCATGGTTTAAATGTCCCCTCTTTGTGTGTTTCAGATATTCACTCAGCAGCGTCTCTCACAGTGAGTCCTGACAGTGTGCAGCACTTCACCAAAACGCCTGTGTCACTGAGCTGTGAGAGAAACTCCACTGAGTGGAGAGTGAGGAGGTTTACAAAATCTGGCAACCTTCTTTCCTGTTCTTCCTGGGGGACAATGACTGGATCCACATGCAAAATAACCAGAAGCTGGCTTAGTGGAGTGTACTGGTGTGAGTCTGAAACAGGACAGTTCAGTAATGCAGTCAACATCACAATGAGTGAGTTTCCATTATTTAAAATATGTGTTTCTGAAGTATTATGTTGTATAAATGTGAAGGTGACAAGCATTAGTCAAACGTCTCTTCAAATTAGTAAAACTTTATAAAAAAGGCTAATTTGCAAAGTGAACTCCAGGGTCACTCCTCTCAAAGATCAAGGATAATATTCTATGTGTTTTATTGTTCTCATACATGCATTTCAGCTTCTACCAGGCTAGACCAGTTGTGCCTAAATGTATTAAATCTGCAAAAGCTGATGTCTCTGGCAAAGCCTTTATATTCTTTGATTTTTTTTCAGATGATGATATTATCCTGGTGAGCCCTGTCCGACCTGTGGCTGAGGGACTTCCTGTCACTCTTAGCTGCAAGTTAAATAATGAAACTGTTCTTTATGATGTGGATTTCTATAAAAATGAGAAACTCATCCAGAACGATACCAGAAGGGAGCTGACGATCTCCGCAGTGTCAAAGTCAGATGAAGGCTTTTATAAATGTAAACAGAGAGATTCAGCAGATGGTAGGACGTCACCAGAGAGTTGGTTCTCAGTAAAATGTGAGTATGATAAAAAACAGTTTCCTCTTTTTGAGATGTGTTGCTGAGTCAGAGCTAAAAAAAGACAGTTAATACTGAATTCAAAGTTGTCTTAGTTTCCTCTGAATTATACAATTTAGTTTTTGTAAGAGAAATACATTTTTCCTGTTCTGTATTCAGTCTTAAAACATTCATATGGCCATGATTACATGAGCAGCATTAAAAATATAAGATATGTGAACAGGGGTTTATAGTGTATTTTGTGAATTTGTTCCAATAAGTGTGTAAATATTTATGATTTATGTGTAAATGTATTTGTATAGTTTTGTATATTCCATAGATGTACATGTATGTGTCAATGTGTGAATGTAGGTTTTTTAAAAAAAAATTGAATGTCATTGTTTATTAATCTTAGATATTTCTGGGGCTTGGTCCGACCTTGAAGCTCTGTTCCTGTGAAGTGCTTTGAGGAAAGTGTTATATAAAAAAATTATAATTAAGGTTATTTATATTAGCAGCTTCTCGGCCTGGAAAAGCCTCTCAATTTCCCGTCCTGTTGACTGTTGGGCTGCTTTGTGGAGTTTTACTGATAATTCTCCCGCTGCTGTTCCTGTATCGCTACAGAAAATCAAAAGGTCAGAACCTTTTCATCTGATATCAAATGAATTAAACTATAATTACTCAAAATCACACATTACATGTACCGGAAACATTTGCAATTCAAAAACTGAGTTTTTGTTGTATTCAACAGATTCAGTCTTCATCAGGTCGGTACAACCCTCTTTTATCTCATTTTGAACATTACAGCAGTTATATGTTAAATTCAATCCACTTCATTATCTTCATGTGTATGTCCCACAAGATCTCAGAGCACCAATCAGGGCCCTGCTACAGACCACATGATCAACCAGGATGAAATTCAAAACATGCCAGAATATTCTGCTCTCCTCCATGGTCAGCCCTTCTCCGGTTTAATAATATAATTTATTTGAACTCTTAGCCTTAATTGTGATTAAAATGATTGGTGTAACCGTGCTTAATTTTCACTTCTCTGTAGGTGATCGTTGTCTCTATGGAAGAATCGGAGGGCCGGTAGAAGCTGGAAATGGTACATTATTTAATTTGTGTTTAACATGAAGTAATATACTACATGCAATTGTTGAGATGCTTTTGTAGGCCAGCAGTCTCTAAATAAATTACAGGAATTATCCTTTGATAAAAAAATGTAATCCTCCTTACAGCTGCCAGTAATAAACCAGAAGAGAGCCTATAATTACTCAAAATCACACATTACATGTACCGGAAACATTTGCTATTCAAAAACAATGTAACTAAGTTGTTCTTGTATTCAACAGATTCAGTCTTCATCAGGTCGGTACAACCCTCTGTTATCTCATTTTGAACATTACAGCAGTTATATGTTAAATTCAATCCACTTCATTATCTTCATGTGTATGTCCCACAAGATCTCAGAGCACCAATCAGGGCCCTGCTACAGACCACATGATCAACCAGGATGAAATTCAAAACATGCCAGAATATTCTGCTCTCCTCCATGGTCAGCCCTTCTCCGGTTTAATAATATAATTTATTTTAACTCTTAGCCTTAATTGTGATTAAAATGATTGGTGTAACCGTGGTTAATTTTCACTTCTCTGTAGGTGATCGTTGTCTCTATGGAAGAATCGGAGGGCCTGTAGAAGCTGGAAATGGTACAGTATTTAATTTGTGTTTAACATGAAGTAATACAAATACTACATGCAATGGTTGAGATGCTTTTGTAGGCCAGCAGTGTCTAAATAAAGTACAGGAATTGTCCTTTGATACATTATTTTAATCCTTCTAACAGGTGCCAGTAATGAACCAGAAGAGAGCCTTTACATAAACGTGGCTGCAGGTAAAGTCAAGTACAAAACACTTTAATACATATACATATGAATATACTAAAAGCTTTTATAATGTGCTGTGCTGCTTGTCAGTTTCAGCAATGAGCAAATCCACCAAATAAAGCTTTTTATACTTTTTGTGCATTTTAATGCCTTTTTATATATTGTTTTCCAGACATGTTTTGGTTTAATGAAACATTACTTAAAACATCGTAACTAATAAATGGCAAATGTACATATTTTCACACACAAATTAGTTGGCATTACCACACATTGTTGTATTCAAAAGCAGTACCATGAGCAGAAAGTGCCCAATGATAATGACTCATTTTGATTTTCTTCCAGATCAATAAAGACATGCTCATGGACAGAACCAATGGAGCGGATAAAAACATGAAAAACAAAATGCTTGTTTCAGCAATTGAGTGTATTTGCTGCTTTTGTGTAAATAGTGCAGAACCTTTTTAAATAAAGGCCTTTCTAGGAACATGCTGAATGCTTTGCAATTCAACTGTATACTTACTTTCTGTGTACTTATATTTAGTGTAAAACATTGTACTACAACTTTATCTGTTACATGTCTGATTCAGATCATGTGGCTCTAACCTTGTTGTACATTTGGTGATATTAGAGCCAGATACTAATAAATGCAGTATGGACACATGCTTTAGCACTGCAGATGCACAGAGTGGACACACAAATATATTATTAATAAAACCTGAATGCAATTATACCTGCATGTACTGTTCAGTGAATGATTCTTACTAGATGCTACCAGAGGGTGCCAACAAATGATCTAATGCCTTTAATTTACCTGCAGAAGTAGTCTCTTGCAAAAGACAAAACATCTGAAGTCACAGCGCCACCAATAGGTCAAACAAGATGTTCAGATTCAAAGGGACTGAAGCACACACCTTTTGTACAGTGTATTTGTTTCCTTTCAGATATGTAGGGCCCGTTTTTAGGTTTTTATTAATAAAAATCACTTGGATCATTTTACCATCTCATCTTGAATTATACAAATGTTCTGTATTCTGTGAAGTAGATTATCCAAAATAACTAAAAACATGGTGGAATTTCTCATACGCTTGTCACCAACAGAGAAACAACAACCCACAAGTCTTATCTTTATTTCATGCTTTCAATTCAATCAAAGCAGTAAAGCCTGTCCAGGAGGAAAACAAGGCTGAACATTTGTATTTTTCAAACCTTTTATTGTCATTAAAGTAAAAAAAATGGTAAACAAAACCCTTAATGCACTTAATATATAATATGTTTTCTGCTAGTACTTACACTTTATTATCTTGTATGATCTCAAAATGTGAATATACATTACTGTGTTCCTACATTGTCCTTGGGTAAACATACAGTATTCTCTATGTAAAGAGATAGAAGAAGGTAATCTACTGACGCACTACAGCCAACATTAGTTTGTCCAATTTATGTAAGTATGTTTTACTGAGAATATTCTATTTTATTTTTTCTCCAGTCACTGTGCAGTTATATTTGAAGCTTTCTTTAGAATATGACCACAAGGTGGTGTTAAACTACTTTATCTAATACTTGACCTACTCTACACAAATAGTCTTTCTGAAGTCTGGCACCAGGGTCTGATGCCATGTAAATGTAACGCCCTAACTAATAACTAAACAATTGACTGCTTACGGTTCACTTTCTTAGCTTTGCACTGATGCATGGAAGTGGAAGCTTTCAATTTTGAATACCCACCACATTTAAAACTGAACAACTACTGAAGTGTTGTGGTATTTAGTTATTTCGATCATTTTTATGGCATTAAGTCATTTTTGTACAACTGTTGTGATACAATTTTACACCTGGACAAAACATATTCTGTATTCAAATGATTGCTTTATTATGAATGATAAAGATATGAAATGTTGCCACCTTAAAGTAGATAGAGTCTATCTCGAGGAGGGGGCTGAACTTTGTCTCTCTTCAGATTCACTTCTGGTAAAGAGACTATGAGAGACTTCCTGTGGGTGAGGTTGTTTCTAAACTTAAACTTGAATTCCTCCATAACACACCAGCACTGCATTTCAACTATTTAGTTAAAGCTGTTACACACATTTTCATATGAAATATTGGTGAGAAGGCCCATGGATTATAAAGTGAGTATGACACATGCAATTGTATATCCTTCTTAGTACTGTATGCACTTTATTTTTTTGGAAACACTTTATGCAGCAGTCTTTATAGCAGCATCAATAATCACTGACCATTTGTGAAGAATCACAAGCCTACAGGGTGATCTTATCTACCAGGAATTATATTTTAATACCGTATCTCTCTTCATCATTAGAGGATACCTAAACCAAGGTGTATAAAATATGTTGTGTTAAAAGCTGTTCAGTGTGAGCTTTGTGTAAAAGGGAAGGAAGCGCAGACTGTTAGAAATCAACTTCCGTGTCCAATTTTACATTGCATTTGTTTCTCTGTAGTTCCTGATTTCTCTTCATATGCTTTCTATTTACACAAAGTCGAAGAATTTCTCAGGAACAGGTTATCAGTGTTGGATGCCAAGATGGGACACACTTTTCTCTCTCTACTGGGGTTTTTCTGTGAGTACTTTTAATGTTTTAATTGCCGTTGTTACAACTTAAATGCCTGAGGTTATGATCTTTGTCAGTTTGATAATGTCTGATGTCGTTTCAAACTTATTTCAGTGCTGAATTTACTTTACCATGGACAAGTTCAAGGTGATTATATAATTATCTTACTTTTTGTCTACTTACTTTAGACAAATCTAGCTATGTAACACTCCAAACAACATCCGTTTGGTCAATGTATAATACTTTGTTTGAGAAAAAAAAAAAGTTTGTAATTTCAAAATCAAACATTATGTCATAAAGAAAATATAAATTATAATATTTGAAAGTAAGGATTAAGAAGGTGGCTAAGAATTGTATATTTGTTTCATTTTTTTGTATTTAGTATTTTGTATTATTTACAGGGCTGTTGTGACCCTGCGACCCAACTGGCCTGAGATATACTCTGGAGAAACGATCACTCTTACATGTGAAATTAAGGATGGAGGAGACTATGAGTGGGAGTTTTTTTGGAGGACACCCGGGTCATACAAACCTCAGACATCTGACCCTAAATATACTCTGACTTCACAAAGTGGAGACTACAGGTGTATGGGCAGACTGAAAGGTGAAATGTCTTCAACGCAGTGGAGTGATGTCTTCACATTGACAGTATCTTACAGTAAGTCATATGTCAATTTTTTACTTTGTTTTGCAGTACGTATATAAACATATAATCTATAATATGCAGGTTATTATATTTAAGTATGATGAACCTTCACATTTGTTTCACATGTTTGTAAAAAATATGTAGGAGGCAAGAAGTGTTTGTTACCCACCAATTATCATTAAATCACTTTCCAACAGACAAACCTGAGCCTGTCCTCACTGTGTCTCCATCATGGCCGAGTCCTGGAGCCTCAGTAACTCTGAACTGCAGGGTTGATTATCCTTCTGCTGGCTGGAGCTTCTACTGGTATAAGGCTGTTCCCCAAAAGTCAGACGACTCCTACAGCTATGAGCTGCTACCTGGCAGCGAGAATGGGACTGAACAGCATCTCTTCATCATTGATGGACAAACACACACAGCAGGATATGTGTGCAGAGCAGGAAGAGGAGATCCAGTGTTTTACAGTTGGCATAGCAGTGCTGCATTTCTCTGGTCTGGAGGTCAGTATGGTTTTTTGTGTGTACCACCATTAGGGCAAAACATGTGTTAATCAAAGTTTGTCTAGTCTGGAGGCACTGGTACCTTTCTATTTTGTTTTCCTCCTACTGTAGTTTGCACCCCCCCCCATCTTTTCAATGGTCAACATTTTATTTGTAATGTTGTCTTTCGGTATTACTGCTTTTTACATGCAACATAAAACCAACAACCCCAATAACCTTTTACTTTCAACAAAGGCAGTATACACATGGATTAAACATTCTCTTTTTAGGCTTGTTTAATCTCTTTCTGCCTTTTTAGGGGATTGTAACTAGAGGTGTTGCTGTACCCATGCATTGTCTTTGTGTTTCAGATATTAACTCACAGTGAGTCCTGACAGTGTGCAGCACTTCACCAAAACGTCTGTGTCACTGCGCTGTGAGGGAAACTCCACTGAGTGGAGAGTGAGGAGGTTTTCGGAATATAACAACCTTTATGACTGTTCTTCCTGGGGGACAAAGACTGGATCCACATGCACAATAACCAGAAGCTGGCTCAGTGGAGTGTACTGGTGTGAGTCTGAAACAGGAGAGTTCAGTAATGCAGTCAACATCACTAAAGAGTGTGAGTTTTATTTATTTAAAATATTTGTTTCTGAATTATTATATTGTTTTGAAATGTGAAGGTGACATGCAAAAAAAGCTAATTTCCGAAGTGAACTCCAGGGTCACTTCTCTCAAAGATCAAAAATAATATTCTGTGTTTTATTTTCCTCATACATCTACCTGACATTTCAACTTCCGCCAGACTAGAACAGTTGTGCCTAAACATATTAAATCTGAAAAAGCTGATATTATTTGATTTTTTTTCAGATGGTAAAATGATCCTGGTGAGTCCTGTCCGTCCTGTGGCTGAGGGACATGCTGTCACTCTTAGCTGCAAGTTAAATAATGAAGCTGCTGTTAATAATGTGGATTTCTATAAAAATGACAAACTCATCCAGAACGATACCAGAAGCGAGCTGACCATCTCTGCAGTGTCAAAGTCAGATGAAGGCTTTTATAAATGTAAACGGAGAGATTCAGCAGATGGTTGGACGTCACCAGAGAGTTGGTTCTCAGTAAAATGTGAGTATGATTTTAAAAACCTTTCCTTTTTTGTAAACTGTGTTACAGTCTGAGATAAAGAAAGCTTAGTTTCCTCTGAATTAAACTGTGTTTGTGTTAGAGAGATGTTTTATACAGTTAATCTACAACAGGAACGTTTTATATAAATAAACATTAATAAAGATTACTTATAATAGCAGCGTCCGGGCATGGAAAAGACTCTCAATTTCCCATTCTTCTGATCGTTGGGCTGCTTTGTGGAGTTTTACTGATTATTCTCCTGCTGCTGTTCCTGTATTTATACAGAAAGTCAAAAGGTGAGATCATTTTCCTCTGATATAAGATTGACTCTAATGTAATCACATGTATGTTTTGACAGTAAAACACTTTCGCAATGCATAATAATATTGTCGTACTTTTTTCTTTTTAACAGATTCATGCTATAGCAGGTTGGTACAACACTCTATTTTATTTTATTATGAACAGGACAGCACTAATATGTTCCTTAATAAATCTACTTCATTCACTACATGTATTTTGCCCACCAGATCTCAGAGGACCAATCAGGGCCCTGCTACAGACCACATGATCAACCAGGACGAAACTAACCAAAGAGAATATGCTTCTGTTCTTCAGGGTCAGCCTGAATCCTTAATATGTTTTGAATGTATTGTTAACGTTGTTAACCGAGTAGCATTTCCATTTCTCATTAGTTATTTAAAAAAATGTAGGAGTTCATATAGAGGGATTTTAATATATATATATATTTTTTTTTATTTCTCTTCAGATAATGCTTGTCTCTATGCAACAGTCAAATGCCCTGGAGAACCTGCAAATGGTACGGTATAGTAAATATAAATACTGGAATATGACAATCCAAGGTTCACTCTTATAAATATAAAATAAATTGTATATTTCAGTTGAAGTTGGGGATGCGACATATTCTGTTGTGGAGCTCAAAAACATTTCTAAGAAGGGTGAGTATTTGATTTCTATGTCGTAACAATAACATACAATAATTAAGGTGCTTTTGTAGGCTAGCAGTGACTAAATTAAGTAAAGTATTGTCTTTTCATGCTTTCTCCTGATCTGTCTAACAGGGAAGAAAAATGAACCGGAGGATTGTGTTTACTCACATGTGCAGATGGCATCAGCTGCAGGTATGATGAAATGCTACTCTCTTTCAGTTTTTGTTGGGTTACATGCTTACGTGCTGCCTGATAGGGTGTCAATTTTTAAAGCTACCACAAGGTGTTGCCAAAGTCACCAATGTTCAAATCCTACACATAACTGTTTATTTTCTGCCAATTCTATGCATTCATGAAATAAACATCAGGGCATATGACATTTCATTCATCTGTATCCATACATGTATAACTGTTGTGAATCATCATGAGCAATTCCTTCTATCAAACTATCACTGTACCCTCTTGTGAGGAAAATGTATACCAGTACATTTTCATTGTTAACTGGGGGAATACTGTAAAAAAATAAATAATAATAATCTCTTAATTCATAGGGAAGTCAAGTCCTGCACCAGCGGATGAAACTGTTTATTCTGAACTCAAACCAGGAGCATCTCTTGGTAAAAATGCAGCGTAACATCATGTACGTTTTCAGATCAATCACTTTATATATTTCATATATTGTTAAATATGTCATGAAACACGCTTATTCTTTAAAAAGTGTAATTTCTTTCTTCTTTGGTTTTCTTCCAGATCGAACAATGTCTTCTGTAAGGACAAGACGAATGGAAACAACATACCAAAACGAAACCTTTGTTTATTAAACCTTATTTGCAGCTTTGCTCTCCATTTATCAGACAGTATTTTGTACAGTTAATGTAATAGCAAGTAATATTAAGGAAATGTATCATATGGCTTTAATCTAGGTGTGTTTAAAAAAAAGCATGCTTTGTTTTGCATCAATAAACTTTATTTACTTAATTACTTCTACATGATTGCACAAGGTGTTTGATTTGCTTCATCATCCTTCGTCTTATTTTGGTGATCCAGTACAGTCATGCTTTGAGGTGACAGAAGGAAGTTAGAGGTGCAAGAGCTGAGATGTGACCAAAAAGTGTGTCACTTTGAATCATCGGCCCTTGTTATTACTATAGTGATGAAGCAGAAGAAACATCTAATATTAGAGGTTTACAAGATGGCTATTTTACCCCAAATAATCCTGACATTTGTCTTGTGTTTTTAGACTAATGCATGATAAATAATCAGAATTACAATTGCAATAAAGATCAGGTAAAGAATGAAAAGAGGTTAAATCATTCTGCAGTTGTCTCGATGAACCATCTAACTGTTGGGGTTAAATATATCTGCCTGTGAAACACAAGTATAATACTGCCATACATTTTTACTAAGATATGAGTTGAGCAAAAATGACTATTTAATTTGCACTTTTAAAGTAGGATCTTGAGAGTGAAGTTAAAATGTATCTGCATGGCATGAGCATGAAGTAGTCATGCCAACGTAAAACAGGAAGGAAAGAGAGACTAGTTATTCTTAGAAAATGTGTAAAATACCAATGAGCTCATGTTGAGATCAGATCAGATTTCCTCCCACAGTGCTCTGTTAGTCTTCCTCAATTTTTTTCAAGTGTTAAAGTGGACGTATGTGTGAGAGACAGAGAGTCTGTGTTCGATGCGAAGATGGGACACACTTTGCTCTGCGCGCTGGGGTTATTCTGTGAGTATATCACTGACTTTTGTATTGAGAACAGAGGATCATTGTTTTGTCTAAAGAGCAGCGGTTTTTAGCAACATCGTTTAGAGCCAAGGAATCTGTTAATTTGACCATGTTTCATCAACCATGATCATTTGATACTATATGTATTTTTAAGGCAGGACCTAGGACTGCATTGTTATAATGTGGATTTAAAGCGATTTCTTAATATCTGCTTTTAATGTGTGATTAATATTGTTCGTTTTGTATTTTAAGTGTGTTGTTTTTAGTTATTTATGATTTTTTTAAATGAGTTTTACCCTGTATATATTCAGAAAAGCTCTCATAGCGATAAAGTGTAATTTTTAAAATATTATTTTTATTATTATTATCATCGATTAGCAACAGTGATTGTATTTGTGCACACTGTCCAAACAAAGTTGCTATATGTGAATCGTAAGCCGTAATGCTTTTGTTGATTCTCATTTTGACAGTTTCTGTCAGTTTATAAAATATTTGATGAATTATCGATCTTTATTTTAGTGCTGAACACACGTCTACAATGCTGTCACGCTGAAGGTGATTACACATTCTTCTCTTTTCTATTTATCTCTCTATGAAACCTCGTTGATTGCATCATCTTTCGTGGTTTAGCCAATGACTAACACATGTTTAGTGAGGAGTCTTAACTTACATTGTACATTTGTATGCCTCAAAGTAACCTTTTCCTCATGGTTGTTGTTCTTCTAATTACATATTTATTATTGTGTTGAATTCTAGATGCTGTGACTCTAAAGACCAACTGGTCCACTTTATACACGGGGGAAACTGTTACGCTCGCATGTGACAAAAGTGACGGCCAAGACACTGACTGGAGTTACACCTTCACCAGGAGTAATTCAAAACTTGATTTCTGCAAAACAAAGAAGTCTTCTTGCTCATTCAAGTTAACGAAAAACGACAATGGCCAATACCAGTGCAGTGTTTTTCAAACAAAGACAAATTCTACAAATCAGAGTAATATAGTCAGTCTGACTGTATTAGGTGAGTCATCTGATGGTTTTTCTCTCTGAATACCAACTATAGCAATGCCCACTGTAGAAGTGAACTCCTTCGATAAGTATTCTGCAGAAGCAATAGTCCAGTAAGGGAAAACAACGGGCTAATGAGAACAGAGCTGCTTTTAAAAATATGGAAATGTACTAATTCATTATGTGTGACTCACGCAGTTTCTGAACACAATGAGAACAGAGATATTGAGGACTGTACATTTACAGTTAAGCAGGTCACTAACTGTAATCAAACAGATACAATAAGACAATTGAAGCTATTTTGATAGTACCCTACTGTTCCTTAGGTATGTTTTTTGTTTAAATGACTATTACATGTAATAATTCTCCAACAGATAATCCAAAACCTGCTCTCAATGTGTCTCGTTCATGGCTGAGTCCTGGAGCCTTCGTCACTCTGAACTGCAGTGTTACAGATTCAGCAGCAGGGTGGAGGTTTTACTGGTATAAGGCCGTCGCCAATCTGTCTATCAACTCCAACTACAGCTTTGAGCTACTACCCGGCAAGAGCAATGGGACTGAAAACAATACCTACGTTGTTAATGGACAGACACACACAGCAGGGTATGTGTGCAGGGCTGGAAGAGGAAACCCTGTGCATTACTCTTGGTATAGCAAACCAAAGTTTGTCTGGTCTGGAGGTGAGAATGTTTCTTTATGTCCCTTATCTCTTCCTATCTGATGTTCCCATTAGGACACATCTTTAAATGCCTCCTTAATTACCATTTTAAAAACACTGAGCATTTTTAAAGCAGTGAAATTGTACATTTGTACTTATAGCAGGCATAACATGCTTTATTCAAAGTCACTTACTTTGTGTTCTGAACGCTGTAAGGTTGGTAGAAAATAAATGGGAACAACCAGAAAGCCAAAAATATAACTGATCTGTTCAAATCAAATATTGAATTCATATATATTTTTTGTAAATGACCTAAAAGTTTGTAGTTTCCTCCGTCGCAGAGTGCATCTACTCTAGGAGGCTGAATTCATGTTGAAAACATTCAGAAGATAATTTTCAATTATTCTGTTTTTGTATTTCAGATTCTCATGCACCATCAGTCAAAGTGAGTCCTGACAGAGTGCAGCACTTTTCCTCAGATCCTGTGTCACTGACCTGTGAGGGGAACCAGTGGAGAGTGGTGAGGCTCACTGAAGCAGGCCATCTGTCAAACTGCTCTGACTGGGGGACAAAGAACGGATCCACATGGATCATCAAAAATCTGACAAACAAAACAGCGGTGTACTGGTGTGAGTTTGCATCTGGTGAATTCAGCAATGCAGTCAACATTACTATAGGCCTACAAAGTAAGTACATTTTTGTCACAATTCCCTAACTGGATTTATATTACAAATGTATAACCAAGTGTCTGTGAGGATGATCTCTATAACTTGATATTCATTGACTGCTTTACAGGTGATGTTATCCTGGTGAGCCCTGTCCATCCTGTGACTGAAGGAGATTCTGTTCGTCTTAGTTGCAAAGTGAAGAGCGGATCATTATCTTTTAATGTTTCTTTCTTTCGAAATAATACTCTCCAAAATTATACCAGTGCTGAGCTGAGGATCTCTGCAGGTGTCAAAGTCAGACGAAGGCTTCTACATGTGTCGATACGCAGAAAAAAAGTCAGCACAGAGTTGGTTGTCAGTAAAATGTGAGTATGATTACATTTGTCTCTTATGCGCTTCCTTTTCCATTAACTAGGTTGCCATCTGAGGTGAAGAAATACTTCCTTTCTACTTAGAAATAGCACTGGTTAGTGTGGTTATCTATGAATGTTCTATATGTCTTCACATGTATACACTTGCATACGTATGTGTTAGTTTGTAAAGTTTGTGCTTTAAATAGGGTGTATATATTAAGTGTTTATTTTCCGTTTTTATCATATATGTGAAATCCCAGCTTTAAGCTCTGTTGAAGAAAAATTGAATCTATGAAAACCTTTTTTTTGTAGCAGCATCCAGTCCTGGAAAAATGAACAGATCATCTATTCTGCTACTGATCATTGGGTTGGTTTGTGGGATTGTTGTGTTCATTCTCCTGCTGCTATTCTGTTGCTGCATGAAGTCCAAAGGTGAGACATTTTCCTTTTGATATTTGATGGATCTGAAATTGTAGTGCGTCAGTTTATAATACAAAGAACATCAATGTCTCTTTTTTACAGATTCAAGCTTTGCAAGGTCGGTACAAGTCTTTTGAACTTGAAAGCAGTACTAATTTAAAATGTCTTCTATATTTTATACCATGTGTTATTTCTATTTTTTTTTTTACTTTATTCTTAGGACCACACTGTTTCAGAGAACCAATCAGGGCTTTGCTCCAGATCAACTGGTTAATCTGAACGAAACTCAACCGCAGCATCCTTCCTCTCATCTCCACGGTCAGCCTGAAAAATAATCAAGATTAAGTTCTCATTTCATATTTTTGCCATTTTTAATGCTAATTTTCTGGTATAGGTGAAATATCTAAGCTCTTTAATCAAAAGACAAAATCCATAAAGCTGGAAAGTAGTTTACTCTTCTTAATATTAATAAAAGATGATAACATTATGGTTTATGTTATGAAAATAGCTTTAATGCAATTTGGGTTACACACACGAGTCTTTAAGTTAAGCTTTAATTTAAGTTAATTGTATTTCAGATGAATCCGGCGATGTCACTTACTCTTCGATTCACCTTAAAAACATTAGGGAAACCGGTGAGTACTCAAGATACAAGCAATAAATACTTATTCTCCTATTTTTTAATCAGATAGATGTCATGCTGACAAACTACATTCTTATTTATTTCCGTTCATAGAAAACTCCTCTGCTGCAGAAGAAACGGTCTATTCTGAAGTGAAACTAGACAAAGCTCCTGGTAATAATGTTATTTGCATCTTCTTTATTTAAAACACAAATATTTTTTAAATAACCTTGTATGTCTGCTTTCTCTCTTATTTCCCCCCAGGTCCTTGAAGACATTTATTTTGCTTATTTTGTATCAAATTAACAATGTTTTTGTATTTTTAAAATGGATTGATGTATGTTTTTACCTGGAGGTTTTGTTTTGTATCATTTAAAATATTGGTCTTCAACTATTGTATGCAGCAATAAAAAATGTTTTCAACAACAAGCCATGAGTCAAATTTTTATAAACGTTTTTATGTAATGATTTTGTCCACATAGTTTTGTGGAGTACCAAAGTACCACACAGCCGTAACAAAAACTAAAAGACATACACAGTAAATAAAACCATAAAATAAATGTTTGCTTTCTTCAGTTTCCAACTTTAACATTTTCATTACTTTCGCAAAGTTGAATGATTTTGCATACAGGATATAAACCAATTTAACTGATAAACAGGACGTTATGCAATACTTGAGACGACAGATGTTAATCAAATTTGACCTAAGTAGCAATAAATGGGGCGAAGCCTGCGAGCTAGTTCCGGCAGTCATCTCGAGCACTTATGCTGCATTCATACATAACGCCCCTTGCCGCTCTACAACCAACCAAACAGAGTCTCCTTAATATGCCGCTCTATTTAACATGCCTGATATCTCTCTATGCATTGCTTGCTGCTGGTATTGTGCAGCTACTTCCACGTCGCTGCTGCTTGCCTGCCCCACCACCACCCCAGCTTCCACCCCAGCTTCCACCTGTAGGCTCGGGGGGTTAGTTATTTAATCATCACTCATCGTGCTATGAATATCTATGGAGTGATGAGGCCCGAGCCTTGACGCCAAACTCAACTATATGCTCCTTCTAATAAACATGTTAAAAAAACACGTGAGTTGTTTTTTGAGCTTTTCTTTTTTATGTGTTTGGTTTCTGGAGTTTTGTTTCTTGACAATATACTATAACACATTCATACACAGGACACAAAAGCCCAATATCTTCACCCTTTTTTAAGTAAGTAAAGTTTATTTATAAAGCGCATTTCACAGACAAAGTCACAAAGTGCTTGACAAAACAATAAGACATCCACATATGGAGGCGTACAATGATAACTGGGAATATGTCCGTCAGCTCAGTCTGTAGGGACTTGGCCTGCACCGTAGGGTCGCCGGTTCAAGTCCCCGAATAGACTGGTACTTTGAGATGTCACAGTCCCCTTCTGGGCACTGCCGTGGTGCCCTTGAGCAAGGCAATTTACCTTAATTAACTTAACGTATGTTGAAGTTTGAACTTATCCTGAAAAAAAATGCTGAAAGGATTTAATAAATAATAATAATAAATCCTATTCGTTACATTTTTGTTAGTAAAATGTAAACAGTATAATTTCTCTGTAAGGTAAGGGCTATAATACAGTATTTTCACCCAAAGTAGAAACACATGGACAGTAATGATCTTATTTTATGTTTTGTACCAGACCTTTCCTGTAGGGGGCAGTGTGACCCTGACTTGAGCTGTGCACGAACACTTCGTGCTGCTCCTCCAGCATTTATTATTAAATGCACTAAAGGTCCATATAGATATAACTCTAGGTCCGTGTGCATATCAAATTAAAGTAAATACAGGCGTCAAACATTTCAAATGGTTTTAAAAGTAATTTAAGGAAACTGATGATTTCATTGATATTTCAGGATAACTGGGAACAGCTTTGAAAACTTGACATCAAACATTTCAAATGCGTATAAAACTTTGAAAACTTGAAATGGTAGATGTATCGAGTACACAGTTGCATTTATAATAATTGTGTTTCAGTTCTATATAAAGATATGCATTGTCACCAAAATAGCAGAGGCCTGTAGAAACAACATATATTTTTTTGCCTTACTTTGTGTTTTTTTACGCTGATGTCACGTAACAGTTGTATTTTATGGGAAACACCCTGTGTGCAGACATGCACATCAACAATTTTATTTTCATATGTAATGAACAGTTGCTAGAAAACAACATTTACAATACATATATTCAAACTTAAGTCCTTTTCCCCTATCATGGAGGACAATTAACTCCATTATTTAAAAAAAATAAGTTAACTGTGGATCAAGCAGAGATTATTCTTTCCTACGCTTTGTCATGTCAGCAACATTATTAGCCACTTGTTGGTGGCCTCTAGTTCTGCTTTCAGTTCCTAAGATGTTCATGTGGTCATAGTTCAATGCACACTTTGTTTAACTATTATCTTTTTTTACACTATGTAATAATAAGGCGCAAAAATAAAAATGGTCAACCTCGTTGTGGCACTAGAGGAAAATGTAGTCGTTCTATCTGAGGGACAGTCAGTCAGAAAGAAAGGCCGACTGACAAACCATACAGGTCATTTTGTGAAAACTGAAATAATGCTAGGTTTTGTAAATTTACTCAAAACCAGAGGAGGAAGAAGTACTCAGATCCTGTTTTTAAGTAAAAGTAGAAGTACCAACTGTAGGAATACTTGATTTCAATTAAAAATCCTGCAATTAAAATGTTACTCAAGTAAAAGTACAAAAGTATTTGCATCAAATATACTTAAAGTACCAAAAGTTAAAGTACTCATGGTGCAAATGGCCCCATTTGAGAATCATATATGATTTGTTTTGGTTATCATTATTGATGTATTGTTGTGTTTATCAAGCTGGTAAAACTAGAACTAATTTCAATTCCTTTATTTACTGCTGGGTAGAATGTGAAATCAATCCGGGTGTATCTACAGGTTTTTGAAGTGTTGATCGTATTGTTTATCATTAAGCTGTATGCAAAGTAACTAAAGGTAGTAGAGTGAAAGTTCAATAATTACTGTACGTCTGAATTGTAGTGGAGTAGAAGTACAATGTAGCATAAAATGGAAATGCTCCAAAAAAATGGAAATGACAAGTACCTCAAAATGTTACTTAAGTACAGTACTTGAGTAAATGTACTTATTTACTTACCCCCTCTGCTCAAAACGTATAGTTAGAAAAAAGGAAGTGACCGACATGACATGTGTGGGCTAAATGCAATTGGAGATGTCATTGTAAAACGTTGTTCACAGATGGTGTGAATTAATAGAGAAGTAACACAAGCAAGTGTTTGTGAGTATCAGACACAGTTTTCCCTGGTGCTCTTTAGGTGGGCAGCATCATCAGCGCTTCTGTTTCCCCCTGTGAGTTTCACATCAGCCTTTTACCATAAAGTTCATAGGAAATCATGTTAGGTTGCAGAGCACAGACCACCTCTGCAGAAGCAACACTTTGTAAAGTGTAGTTTATTGTAAGGTGACAACGGCTACCAGTAATCTCTGCCGGAAGAGGTTATAGTTCCTGCTAAACAAACCATCATGACATCATCACTTTCCTTCCCAACCAATCCATGGATTTTAAGTTTTTGAAATTAGTCTTTGCTACGTCTCCGCCCGAATATTAAAAGGGCATTGACATACATGACATACGTGTAAGCCTTAAGCTTTATTCTGGGAACTTACTTCCTTATGTGGTCACATGTGGTCGAGCTTCGCACAAACTCTAGTGATGCGATAAGATCCATGCAGTTGTGGGCCTTCGTCATGCAAGCACTGCTGCAAAACAATTCAGTTTTCTCTAACCATATTCTGTGGAGAAATATAAAACTTGCAATGCAGTTAGAGCAAAATGAACAGAGTATCTTGAAATACCAGCTTCTCAGGAGGCTAAAAGGCGGAGGGTTAGGGATTTTGATACCAATAAATGGTACTGATCCTAAGTTCCAGTGGAAAAGCCCTATTGGTTTTCACATTGGTCTTATTTACAACAGAAACAGTCTGCTTTGATGTCACCATCGTTTCCCCAACTCACATTCAGACAGTAGCAGGCTTTACTACTTGCATGGTAGCTATCTGAAGCTCAGCTAGGACAATACGGAAATTGTGCTCCTTTGGTCAGAAGGATCCCAAACAAAGGCCTTTCGATTCAACCCATTTTTATTTGCATCTTATCCGAAAGCATCCAATACAACATAAGGAGTATTTGTCCCCTCCCTACTAGAGAAGGACAGGTTTTGTCATCTTCAAATATCTTCTATCTCCTTATTGGAGCAGCCCCGTCTACCATCAAAATTCCGTAATGCTCCTGCCCGCCACTCCCAAAACGTATTTAAATCTTCTCTGCTCTTTACAGTTGCTCTCTGTTGCAGTTTTCACAAAATGTAAGATGCTTGCCTCTAACTGCTTTTTTGAACTTTTAAGTAAATGTAAAAGCTTACGCTATAACGGGACCATTGCACTCTATTGCCTCTAGGCTGGCCACACTTTTACATCAGCATCAGGTCATAGTTCAGTTTTCAAAACTATTCTCTAAAACAGAATGATGATTGACTGAATCAGCCTCTATATATGTTTTTAGATATTTATCTGATGGTAATATATTTTGTTTAAGACATAAACATTACACATACTTAACTGGTACGTTCTATTTTGTTTTCCTCCTACTTTAGTTTGCTTGCCCCCCCCCCCCCTCAACTTTTAAATGAACAATTTTATCTTTTTTACTTCAACAACTGCAATATATCCATGGATAAATCACTCAGTTTTTAGGCTTGTTTATTTTTTTGCCTTTTTTAGGGTAATTCAAGTGGAGGTTTTGCTGTACCCATGCATTGTCTTTTACCGTTTGCATGGTTTAAATGTCCCCTCTTTGTGTGTTTCAGATTTGAATTCAGCAGCGTCTCTCACAGTGAGTCCTGACAGTGTGCAGCACTTCACCAAAACGCCTCTGTCACTGAGCTGTGAGGGAAACTCCACTGAGTGGAGAGTGAGGAGGTTTTCGGAAGCTGACAACCTTTATCACTGTTCTTCCTGGGGGACAATGACTGGATCTATATGCACAATAACCAGAAGATGGCTTAGTGGAGTGTTCTGGTGTGAGTCTGAAACAGGACATTTCAGTAATGCAGTCAACATCACTAAAGATGGTGAGTTTTAATTATTTAAAATGTTTGTTTCTGAAGTATTATATTGTTCTGAAATGTGAAGGTGACAAGCATTAGCCAAACGTCTCTTCAAATTAGTAAAACTTTATAAAAAAGGCCAATTTAAGAAGTGAACTCCAGGGTCACTCCTCTCAAAGATAATATTCTGTGTTTTAATTTCCTCATCTACCTGATTTCAGCTTCTGCCAGAGTAGACCAGTTTTGCATAAACGTAAACAAGCTGATATCTCTGACAAAGCCTTTATATTCTTTGATTTTTTCCAGATGATGGTCAAATGATCCTGGTGAGCCCTGTCCGTCCTGTGGCTGAGGGACTTCCTGTCACTCTTAGCTGCAAGTTAAATAATGAAACTGTTCTTTATGATGTAGATTTCTATAAAAATGACAAACTCATCCAGAACGATAACAGAAGGGAGCTGACCATCTCTGCAGTGTCAAAGTCAGATGAAGGCTTTTATAAATGTAAACGGAGAGATTTAGCAGATAGTAGGACGTCATCAGAGAGTTGGTTGTCAGTCAAATGTGAGTATGATAAAAAACAGTTTCCTCTTTTTGAGATGTGTTGCTGAGTCAGAGCTAAAAAAGACAGTTAATACTGAATTCAAAGTTGTCTTAGTTTCCTCTGAATTATACAATTTAGTTTTTGTAAGAGAAATACATTTTTCCAGTTCTGTATTCAGTCTTAAAACATTCATATGACCATGATTACATGAGCAGCATTGAAAATATAAGATATATGACCAGGGGTTTATAGTGTATTTTGTGAATTTGTTCCAATAAGTGTGTAAATATTTATGATTTATGTGTAAGTGTATTTGTATAGTTTTATATATTCCATAGTTGTACATGTATGTGTCAATGTGTGAATGTAGGTTTTTAAAACATTTTTTGATTGTCATTGTTTATTTATCTTTGAGATTTCTGAGGCTTGGTCTGACCTTGAAGCTCTGTTTCTGTGAAGTGCTTTGAGGAAAGTGTTATATAAAAAAATAATATTTAAGGTTATTTATATTAGCAGCTTCTCGGCCTGGAAAAGTCTCTCAATTTCCCGTCCTGTTGACTGTTGGGCTGCTTTGTGGAGTTTTACTGATAATTCTCCCGCTGCTGTTCATGTATCGCTACAGAAAGTCAAAAGGTCAGAACCTTTTCATCTGATATCAAATGAATTAAACTATGATTACTCAAAATCACACATTACATGTACCGGAAACATTTGCAATTAAAAAACAATGTAACTATAACTATTCTATTCAACAGATGCAGTCTTCATCAGGTCGGTGCAACCCTCTTTTATCTCATTTTGAACATTACAGCAGTTTATGTTAAATTCAATCGTCTTCATTATCTTCATGTGTATGTCCCACAAGATCTCAGAGCACCAATCAGGGCCCTGCTACAGACCACATGATCAACCAGGATGAAATTCAAAACATGCCACAATATTCTACTCTCCTCCATGGTCAGCCCTTGTCCGGTTTAATAATATGACTTATTTTTAACTCTCAGCCTTAATTGTGATTAAAATGATTGGTTTGACCGTGGTTGATTTTCACTTCTCTGTAGGTGATCGTTGTCTCTATGAAACAATCAGAGGGCCTGTAGAAGCTGGAAATGGTAAAGTATTTCATTTGTGTTTAACATGGAGTAATACAAATACTACATGCAATGGATGAGATGCTTTTGTAGGCCAGCAGTCTCTAAATAAAGTACAGGAATTGTCCTTTGATTAATTATTTTAATCCTTCTAACAGGTGCCAGTAATGAACCAGAAGAGAGCCTTTACATAAACGTGGCTGCAGGTAAAGTCAAGTACAAAACACTTTAATACTTATGAATATACTAAAAGCTTTTATTATGTGCTGTGCTGCTTGTCAGTTTCAGGAATGACCAAATCCACCAAATAAAGCTTTTATACTTTTTGTGCATTTTCATGTCTTTCTTATATACAGCATGTTGTTTTCCAGACATGTTTGGGTTTAATGAAACATTACTTAAAACATCATAATTCATAAATGGCAAATGTACATATTTTCACACACAAATTAGTTGGCCTTACCATACATTGTTGTATTCAAAAACAGTACCATGAGCAGAAAGTAACCAATGATAATACCTCATTTTGGTTTTCTTCCAGATCAATAAAGACATCCACATGGACAGAACCAATGGAGCGGATAAAAACATGAAAATCAACATCCTTGTTTCAGCAATTGAGTGTATTTGCTGCTTTTGTGTAAATAGTGCAGAGCCTTTTTTAATAACGGCCTTTCTAGGAACATGCTAAATGCTTTGCAATTCAACTGTATACTTACTTTCTGTGTACTTATATTTAGTGTAAAACGTTCTACTGCAACATTATCTGTTACATGTCTGATTCAGATCATGTGGCTCTAACCTTGTTGTACATTTGGTGATATTAGAGCCAGATACTAATATATGCAGTATGGACACATGCTTTAGCACTGTAGATGCACACAGTGGACACACAAATATATTATTAATAAAACCCAAATGCAATTATACCTGCATGTACTGTTCAGTGAATGATTCTTACTAGATGCTACCACAGGGTGCCAACACATTATCTAATGCCTTTAATTTATCTGCAGAAGTAGTCTCTTGCAAAAGCCAAAACATCTGAAGTCACAGCGCCACCAATAGGTCAAACAAGATGTTCAGATTCAAAGGAACTGAAGCACACACCTTTTGTACAGTGTATTTGTTTCCTTTCAGATTGTTGGGGCACGTTTTTGTTCTTTATTAATAAAAATAATTTTGATTATTTTACCAACTCATCTTTAATAATATAAACGTTCTGTATTGTGTTAAGCAGATTATCCAATATACCTAAAACATGATGTAATTTGTCCCCAATAGAAAACCAACAACCCACAAGTATTATCTTTATTTCATGCTTCCAATGCAATCAAAGCAGTAAAACCTGTCCAGGAAGAAAACAAGGCAGAACATTTTGTATTTTTCAAACATGTTATTGTCATTAAAATTAAAAAATGGTAACCAAAACCCTTAATACACTTAATAAATAGTATGTTTCCTTGCTAGTACTTATACTTTATTATCTTGTATGATTTCAAAATGTAAATATATGGTACTGTGTTCCTACATTGTCCATGGGTAAACATCCAGTATTCTCTATGTAAAGAGATAGAAGAAGGGAATCTACTGACGCACTATTGCCAACATTAGTTTGTCCAATTTATGTAAGTATGTTTTACTGAGAATATTCAATTTATTTGTTCTCCAGTCACTGAGCAGTTATAATAGAAGCTTTCTTTCGATATATGACCACAAGGTGGTGTCAAACTACTTTATCTCATACTTTACCTACTCTACACAAATAGTCCTTCTGAAGTCTGGCAGCAGGGTCTGATGTCATGTAAATGTAACTCCTTACTAATAACTAAACAATTGACTGCTTACGGTTCACTTCCTTAGCTTTGCACTGATGCATGGAAGTGGAAGCTTTCAATTTTGACTTCCCACCACATTTAAAACTTCACAGCTACTGAATTGTTGTGGTATTTATTAATTTCGACCATTTTTATTGAATTAACATAATCTTTGTTCGACTGTGGATCAAATGTTGCACCTAGACAAAACATATTTTCTGTATTCAAATGATTTATTTATTACTAATGATATAGATATGGAATTATGCCCCCTTAAAGTAGATAGAGTCTATCTCGAGGAGGGGGCAGGACTTTGTCTCTCTTCACATTCACTTCAGGTAAAGAGACTATGAGAGACTTCCTGTGGGTGAGGTTGTTTCTAAACTTAAACTTGAATTCCTTGAGAACACTCCAGCACTGCAGTTCAACTATTTGGTTAAAGCTGTTACACACATTTTCATATGAAATATTGGTGAGAAGGCCCATGGATTATAAAGTGAGTATGACGCATGCAATTTTATCACTTAATTTGTTCTAGAAAAGACAACTGTTTGACTTCATGCAGCAGTCTTTAGAGAAACATTAATAATTACTGACCATTTGTGCAGAAGCACGGGCCCACAGGATGATCTTATCTACATCAGTGAGGATACTTTAATACCTTATCTCTCTTCATCATTACAGGATACCTAAACCAAGGTGTACACAAATGTGCTGTGTTAAAATCTGTTCAGTTGTGTGAGCTTTGAGTAAAAGGGAAGGAAGCCCAGACCGTGTACTTTTTAAAAGAAGTTAAAAATCAACTTCCTTTTCCAATATTTCATTGCATTTGTTTCTCTCTAGTTCCTGATTTCTCTTCATATGCTGCAGTTTCGATCTTTCTATTTACACAAAGTAGAAGAATTTCTCATAAACAGAGGAGCAGATTATCAGTGTTGGATGTGAAGATGGGACACACTTTGCTCTCTCTGCTGGGGTTTTTCTGTGAGTACTTTTAATGTTTTATTTGCCATTGATACAACTTTTTAAATGCCTGATGTTATGATACGTTTGATTTCTGTCAGTTTGATAATGTCTGATGTAGTTTCATACTTGTTTCAGTGCTGAATTTACTTTACCGTGGACAAGCTCAAGGTGATTATACAATTTTCTTTCTTGTTGTTTACTAATATATAAGTAAAGCAAAAATCTACCATTTAACTCTCCAAACAACATCCTCTTTTTTGTGTGTTCTGTTTTGTCAATTTATTATAAATGTTTTGACAAAAAGAAAACACATTTTATTTTATGTTTCTTGTGATGGTTTCTAGATGCTGTGCTGACCATTGAGCCAAACCGGACCACTTTTTTCATCGGAGAGTCTGTTACCTTCAAGTGTGACATTACAGGAGACAAAGACAGCGACTGGTCTTACTCAATCCACTGGAATGGTGGAGGATTTCTCTCTTACCACAAACATGAGAGCTTTAAATTACCCTCAGCTACAGGCTACAGTGGTGAATACCAATGTTTTTTTCATCAGAACGGCTCAACAAAGGAAAGCAATACAATCTATCTAACTGTATCAGGTAAGTGATCAAAGTATTACCACCACTACCAAGTTCATTAAAAGCCTTTTTTATTTATTTATGAGCCATGTTGATATAAACACGCAGTTTGGACAAGTTCTAATATATAATCTGTAAATTATTATAATGTTTTACATTTTAACAGCTCCACTGATGCTGTATAGAGAGGTGAAGTATACTGTAAAATTCTGTGCTTTTAGGTTATCACAAAATCAAGATAAAAGATAATACTTTACCAACAAACCTTGTTATACTTTATTAATTTTGACAAATTATGAAGAAAGACCAATATATTCGAGAAACTTATACACCTTAATGTGCTTAACAGTAATTATTCAAACAGTGCAGGTAAAAATGTATTCCTTTTTCATGAAATGTGAAAATGTATTCTTCATAACTAGAAGTATTTGTTGTACTAATGTGGTATTAATTTAGTTATTTTACTATAATAATGAATCGTTTGTGTTACACAGATAGAATCGTGATCCTGGAAAGTCCTGCGTCCACTTTGTTTGAAGGAGAATCAGTGACTCTGCGCTGTAGGCATCGTACTCAGAGAGAGGAGAATGTTGCCTTCTACAGAGACGGATCATTGATCACAACAGACAGAAACCACCAGTCACCAATAATGGCAAAACACACTGTTCAAGTAATGTCAGACGGGAGCTCTTACAGTTGTAAATTTGGCGATGAAGAATCTGAACCAATAAAACTGAGAACTGAACGTAAGTAGTTTTCATACCCAAAAGCTTCAGACATTTAGTAATCCCAAAATGAAACGGAATTATATTATCTGCATAATCTTAGAAGCACTGGACAATGAACAAAGAAAAAAAAAGCTTTTGACATTTTCACCCCGTTTTATGTGCGTTTCTACACAAGGTTAACAGTGGTTATAAATAGAAATATAAGCATAGTTATTTCTCTATATTTTCATTATAGCATACACTGTGGTTTAATATTACTAAGAGTGCTGGATAATATATATTATACATTTTTATTATTTGTCAAGCTAAGCTTATTTACAGGGACAATAACTAACATTTTGTAAACATTTGTACCTTTATTCTACATTGAACAGCAACACCAAAGGCCCAGCTGAGAGACATATTTCCAGGAGGGGGCAATGTGACTCTAACTTGCTCTGTAGGACCATCATCAGCTTCTGGTTGGAGATACTTCTGGTACAAAAAAGAGAACACCTCTGAACCCCTGAAGACACAAGATGTTTTCCTCACAAATGACCGAATCAGTGTCTCACGAGGAGGCGTCTACTGGTGCAGAGGAGGAAGAGGAAACCCTGTTTACTACACAGAGTACAGCGATGCAGTCGGTAATTTAAAAATCAAATATTATGTCATAAAGAAAATATAAATTATAATATTAAGGATTAAGAAGGTCGCTAAGAAATGTATATTTCTTTAATTTTTTTTAATTTAGTATTTTTGTGCTTCTTCCTCTAACAGTCACAAACAGGGCTGTTGTGACCCTGCGACCCAACTGGCCTGAGATTTACTCTGGAGAAACTATCACTCTTACATGTGAAATTAAGGATGGAGGAGACTCTGAGTGGGATTATATATGGATGACACCCGGGTCAGAAACACCTCTGACATCTGAACCTAAATATACTCTGACCTCACAAAGTGGAGACTACGGGTGTATGGGCAGACTGAAAGGTGACATGTCTTCAACCCAGTGGAGTGATGTCCTCACATTGAAAGTATCTGACAGTAAGTCACATGTCATATGGGTTTCATCATTATTAGACTTTGTTTTGCTATATGTATATAAACATATAATCTATAATATGTTGGTTATTATATTTAAGGATGGTGCACCTTCACATTTGTTTTACATGTTTGTAGAAAATATGTAGGATGCAAGGAGTGCATGTAACCCACAAATTACATCATTAAATCACTTTCCAACAGACACACCTGAGCCTGTCCTCACTGTGTCTCCATCATGGCCGAGTCCTGGAGCCTCAGTAACTCTGAACTGCAGGGTTGATCATCTTTCTGCTGGCTGGAGCTTCTACTGGTATAAGGCTGTTCCCCAAAAGTCAGGCTACTCCTACAGCTATGAGCTGCTACCTGGCAGCCACACAGGGACTGAACAGCATCTCTTCATCATTGATGGACAAACACACACAGCAGGATATGTGTGCAGAGCAGGAAGAGGAGATCCAGTGTTTTACAGTGGGCAGAGTGAACCTAAATTTATCTGGTCTGGAGGTCAGTATGTTCTTCCTTTTTCTTTCTTTCTTTAGTTTGCACCACCATTAGCACAACAAATGTGTTTATCAAAGTTTGTCTGCTCTGGCGGTTTGTTTTGACTTTTCCATTATTGCAAAATGGAACAAAGTCCCTTAGTTTGGGAACTTTTCTTTTACACCAGCATCAGGTCATATTTCAGTTTTCAAAACTATTCTCTAAAAAAGAATGATGATGAAATTATTCAGCTTCTGGACTCGACTGAATTTTTACACGAGTTAATCTCCTGACCCTCTTTTCATCCTGACACATGAGTTGTTGTTCGCCAAGATTCAACCCTTAGACTTTGTAAATCCAAAACCTAATAATAAAAGGCTTCGACAATACATTGTAATTACATATAACTGGTAAGTGTTTTCTTTATTTTTTTTAGTTAGGAATATGTTTTAAGATATTTATCTGCTGGTTAAATAGTTTAAGAAATAAACAATACATATAATTAAAAAAATTAGTTGTGTGGGATTGAGACACTGGTACGTTCACTTTTGTTTTCCTCCTACTTTAGTTTGTTCCCGTTTGTTTTTTTAAGGTAAATTAAGTGGAAGTTTTGCTGTACCCATGCATTGTCTTTTTCAGTTTACATGGTTTAAATGTCCCCTCTTTGTGTGTTTCAGATTTGAATTCAGCAGCGTCTCTCACAGTGAGTCCTGACAGTGTGCAGCACTTCACCAAAACGCCTGTGTCTCTGAGCTGTGAGGGAAACTCCACTGAGTGGAGAGTGATGATGCTATCGGAATCTGACAAGCTTTATCGACTGTTCTTCCTTGGGGACAATGACTGGATCCACATGCACAATAACCAGATACTGGCTTAGTGGAGTGTACTGGTGTGACTCTGAAACAGGACAGTTCAGTAATGCAGTCAACATCACTGTGAGGTCACTATGTGAGTTTTAATTATTTAAAATGTTTGTTTCTGAAGCATTATATTATTTTTGAAATGTGAAGGTGACATGCATTAGCCAAAATTATCTTCAAAGTGAGTTAAAACTTTATAAAAAGGTTTAATTTGCGAAGTGAACTCCAGGGTCACTCCTCTGAAAGATCAAAGATAGTATTCTATGTGTTTTATTTTCCTCATACATCTACAGTACACCTTGGCATTTCTGCTTCTGCCAGACTAGGCCAGTTGTGCCTAAATGTATTAAATCTGCAAAAGCTGATTTCTCTGACAAAGCCTTTATATTTATTTGATTTCAGATGGTGAAATTATCCTGCTGAGTCCTGTCCGTCCTGTGGCTGAGGGACGTTCTGTCACTCTTAGCTGCAAGTTAAAGACACAAACTGTTTATAATGTGGATTTCTATAAAAATGACAAACTCATCCAGAACGATACCAGAAGGGAGCTGACCATCTCTGCAGTGTCAAAGTCAGATGAAGGCTTTTATAAATGTAAACAGAGAGATTCAGCAGATGGTTGGACGTCACCAGAGAGTTGGTTCTCAGTAAAATGTGAGTAGGATAAAGAAAAGTTTCCTCTTTTTGAGATGTGTTGCTGAGTCAGAGCTAAAAAAGACTGAATTCAAAGTTGTCTTAGTTTCCTCTGAATTATACAATTTAGTTTTTGTTAGAGAAATATATTTTTCCAGTTCTGTATTCAGTCTTAAAACATTCATATGACCATGATTACATGAGCAGCATTGAAAATACAAGTCAGTAAAATGTAAGATATATGATTAAAAAAAAACATTCTTTTTTGTAAGCTGTGTAACAGCCTGAGATATAGGAAGCTTAGTTTCTTCTGAATTAAACTGTGTTTAAATTAAAAAAGGTTTTATGAAGTTAATCCATTACAGGAAAGTGTTAGAGATATAATATTAATAAAGATTACTTATATTAGCAGCGTCCATGCATGGAGAAGCCTCTGAATTTCCCATTCTGCTGATCGTTGGGCTGCTTTGTGGAGTTTTACTGATTATTCTCCTGCTGCTGTTCCTGTATTTATACAGAAAGTCAAAAGGTGAGATCATTTTCTTCTGCTATAAGATTGACTCTAATGTCATCACACGTACTGTTTTGACAGTAGGATACTTTCGCAATGCAAAATAATATAGTATTACTTTTTTCTTTTTTTAACAGATTCATGCTATAGCAGGTTGGTAAACACTATTTTATTTTTATTTTGAACATGACAGCAGTAATGTGTTCCTTAATAAATCCACTTCATTTACTACATGTGTTTCGCCCACCAGATCTCAGAGGACCAATCAGGGCCCTGCTACAGACCACATGATCAACCAGGACGAAACTAACCAAAGAGAATATGCTTCTGTTCTTCAGGGTCAGCCTGAATCCTTAATACGTTTTGAATGTATTGTTAACGTTATTAACCGAGTAGCATCCATTTCTCATTAGTTGTTTTAAAAAATGTAGGAGTTCATATAGAGGGATTTTAATATGAATTTGGTTTGATTTTGATTACTCTTCAGATAATGCCTGTCTCTATGAAACAATCAAAGGCCCTGAAGAACCTGCAAATGGTACAGTATAGTAAATATAAATACTGGAATATGACAATTCAAGGTTCACTCTTTGAAATATAAAATTAATTGTATATTTCAGATGAATCCACGGATGTGACATATTCTGTGCTCGAGCTCAAAAACATTTCTAAGAAGGGTGAGCATTTTAAATGTATGTTGTAACAAAAACATGCAATAAGTATTGTCTGTTCACGCTTTCTCCTGATCCGTCTAACAGGGAAGAAAAATGAACCGGAGGATTGTGTTTACTCACATGTGCAGATGGCATCAGCTGCAGGTCTGATGAAATACTACTCTCTTTAAGTTTTTGTTGGGTTACATGCTGCCTGCTAGGGTGTCATTTTAAAAGCTACCACAAGGTGTTGCCAAAGTCAGCAATGTTCAAATCCTACACATAACTTTTTCAATGTTTGTTAAGTTTATTTTCTGCCAATTCTATGAATTCATGAAATAAACATCAGGGCAAATGACATTTCATTTATCTGTATCCATACATGTTTAACTGTTGTGAATCATAATGAGCAATTCCTTCTATCAAACTGTCACTCTACCCTCTTGTGAGGAAAATGTATACCAGTACATTTTCATTTTTAACTGGGGAGAATACTGTACAAAATAAATAATAATAATCTCTTAATTCATAGGGAAGTCAAGTCCTGCACCAGCGGATGAAACTGTTTATTCTGAACTCAAACCAGGAACAGGTCTTGGTAAAAATGCAGCGTAACGTCATGTAAGTATTCAGATCAATCACTTTATATATTTCGTAATATGTCATGAAACACCGTAATTCTTTAAAAAGTGTAATCTCTTTCTTCTTTGGTTTTCTTCCAGATCAAACAGTGTGGACAAGAGGAATGGAAACAACATACCAAAATGAAACCTTTGTTCATTAAACCTTATTTGCAGCTTTGCTCTCCATTTATCAGACAGTATTTTGTACAGTTAATGTAATAGCAAATCATTGAAAGGAAATGCATCATGTGGCTTTAATCTAGGTGTATTTAAAAAAATTTAAAAAGCATGCTTTGTTTTGCATCAATAAACTTGATTTACTGAAGTGCTTCTCCTTGATTTTTCTTTTCACAAGGTGTTTGATTTGCTTCATCATCCTCCGTCTTATTTTGGTGATCCAGTACAGTCATGCTTTGAGGAGACAGAAGGAATTTAGACGACAAAAATGTGTTACTTTGAATCATCGGCCCTTGTTATTACTATAGTGATGAAGCAGTAGAAACATCTAATATTAGAGGTTTACAAGATGGCTATTTTACCAAAAAATCCTGACATTTGTCTTGTGTTTTTAGACGAATGCATGATAAATGATCAGAATTATAATTGCAATAAAGTTCAGGTAAAGAATGAAAAGAGGTTAAATCATTCTGCAGTTGTCCCGATGAACCATCTAACTGTTGGCGTTAAATCTGCCTGTGAAACACAAGTATAATAATGCCATCCATTTTTACTTAGATATGAGTTGAGCAAAAATGACTTTTTACTCTGCCTTTTTAAAGTGGGATATTGGTCGAGAGTGAAGTTAAAATGTATCTGCATGGCATGAGCATGAAGTAGTCATGCCAACGTAAAACAGGAAGGAAAGAGAGACTAGTTATTCTTAGGAAATGTGTAAAATACCAATGAGCTCATGTTGAGATCAGATCAGATTTCCTCCCACAGTGCTCTGTTAGTCTTCCTCAATTTGTTTCAAGTGTTAAAGTGGACGTATGTGTGAGAGACAGAGAGTCAGTGTTCGATGTGAAGATGGGACACACTTTGCTCTGCGCGCTGGGGTTATTCTGTGAGTATATCACTGACTTTTGTATTGAGAACAGAGTATCATTGTTTTGTCTAAAGAGCAGCGGTTTTTAGCAACACCGTTTAGAGCCAAGGAATGTGTTAATTTGACTATGTTTCATCAACCATGATCATTTGAGACTATATTTATATACGCATTTTCAAGGCAGGACCTAGGACTGCATTGTTATAATGTGGATTTAAAGCGATTTCTCAAGATCTGCTTTTAATGTGTGATTAATATTGTTCGTTTTGTATTTTAAGTGTGTTGTTTTTAGTTATTTATCATTTTTTTAAATGAGTTTTACCCTGTATATATTCAGAAAAGCTCTCATAGCGATAAAGTGTAATTTTTACTAATATTATTTTTATTATTATTATCATCGATTAGCAACAGTGATTGTATTTGTGCACACTATCCAAACAAAGTTGCTATATGTGAATCGTAAGCTGTTTTCAAATGCTTTTGTTGATTCTCATTTTGACAGTTTCTGTCAGTTTATAAAATATTTGATGAATTATCGATCTTTATTTTAGTGCTGAACACACGTCTACAATGCTGTGACGCTGAAGGTGATTACAAATTCTTCTCTTTTCTATTCATCTCTCGATGAAACCTTGTTGATTGCATCATCTTTCGTGGTTTAGCCAATGACTAACACATGTTTAGTGAAGAGTGTTAACTTACATTGTACATTTGTATGCCTCAAAGTAACCTTTTCCTAAGTAAGTAAGTAAGTAAAACTTTATTTATATAGCACCCTTCTCAACACGAATGTACAAAGTGCTTTACAGTACAGTACACAATTCACAGTACAACTAAAATGTAGAATAAAAGGCATAAAAAGGCATAAAACAGCAGGTAATACATAGGATAAAACATACGATAAAACACCAATAAAAGACAGCTACTAACTCACCTCCTCCAACGCCCCAAAGGCCTGTCGGAAGAGGTGGGTCTTTAACTGCCCCTTAAAAATCTCTATTGAGGGAGAGGTTTTTATTTTCTGGGGGAGTTTGTTCCATAGCCTTGGGGCCACCGCCTCAAATGCACGGTCCCCCTTAGTTTTTAGCCTGGTTCGGGGCACCCTTAGGAGGCCTTGCTCAGAGGACCTCAGGGCCCGGGTTGTGCTGTGAGGGAGGATCAGGTCATTGATGTATGCTGGGGCTTGGCCATGGACAGCTCTATATGTGTAAACCAATACCTTAAAGTGGGTTCTGAGATGGACAGGGAGCCAGTGCAGGGCAGAAAGAATCGGGGTGATGTGGCATGTTTTTTTGGACCGAGTGAGCAATCTGGCTGCAGCATTTTGGACCTGTTGTAACCGGTTTATTGATGTTTTGTTGAGGCAGGAGAACAGAGCATTACAGTAATCAAGCCGGGATGAAATAAAGGCATGAATAGCCATCTCCATTTCTGCGTTTGATAGAACCCCCCTGAGCTTGGCAATGTTTCTGAGATGGAAAAAACAGGTAAGGTCAGAAGTTTGATGCGTTTGTCTAGTAGCATAGACTGATCGAAAGTTACACCAAGGTTTTTTATGTTTGCCCTTATGTTACCACTGAATGAACCCAGGTGGCTTGCTACCTTAGAGGCGATGTTATCAGCCGCTAAGATCAAGACTGCCGTTTTTGATGCATTGAGCTGTAGGAAGTTGCTTGACATCCAATCCTCAATTGCAGACAGACATGTGATGAGGGTGTTTACATTTTCCATTTTGACGGGTTTGAAAGAGAAATATATTTGGATATCATCTGCATAACAGTGATATGAGACACCCTTGAATTGGCTAATTAAGCGGCCCAATGGGAGCATGTACAGGGCAAAAAGAAGGGGGGCTAAAACAGAACCCTGGGGCAGGCCGCAGGATAGGGGAGTGCTATGTGATGAGAACGGGCCCACCGCCACGGAGAAACTTCTCCCACTGAGGTACGAGGCAAACCACTGGAGGGCAGACCCTGAGATGCCTACCCACTCCCTGAGTCTATCTAGCATGATGGCGTGGTCCACTGTGTCAAACGCTGCACTCAGGTCCAACAACACCAGAACCACGCAATCACCTGCATCCGATGCCATCCTGATGTCATTGGAGACCCTGAGGAGAGCTTCCTCATGGTTGTTGTTCTTCTAATTACATATTTATTATTGTGTTGAATTCTAGATGCTTTGACTCTAAAGACCAACTGGTCCACTTTATACACGGGGGAAACTGTTACGCTCGCATGTGACAAAAGTGACGGCCAAGACACTGACTGGAGTTACACCTTCACCAGGAACAATTCAAAACTCGATTTCTGCAAAACAAAGAAGTCTTCTTGCTCATTCAAGTTAACGAAAAACGACAATGGCCAATACCAGTGCAGTGTTTTTCAAACAAAGACAAATTCTACAAATCAGAGTAATATAGTCCGTCTGACTGTATTAGGTGAGTCATCTGATGGTTTTTCTCTCTGAATACCAACTATAGCAATGCCCACTGTAGAAGTTAACTCCTTCGATAAGTATTCTGCAGAAGCAATAGTCCAGTAAGGGAAAACAACGGGCTAATGAGAACAGAGCTGCTTTAAAAAATATGGAAATGTACTAATTCATTATTTGTGACTTCTGTGTGCAGTTTTTGAACACAATGAGAACAGAGATCTTGAGGACTGTACATTTACAGTTAAGCAGGTTGCTAACTGTAATCAAACAGATACAATAAGACAATTGAAGCTATTTTGATAGTACCCTACTGTTCCTTAGGTATGTTTTTTGTTTAAATGACTATTAAAACAGGTACAGCAAATGTACTGCCCCTATGTTCACCTAAAGTCAATCCAGACATCATGACACAATTCCGTCTGAAAAATGCTAATGACCTGGAAGACATTATTCAACATCTGAAATCCTCCTCCTGTAGCCTCGATATTATTCCGACAGGATTTTTCAAAACTATTTTTCACTGCATGGCCTCAGATATACTACACATAGTAAACAAGTCTCTTCAAACAGGTGTATTTCCGCAGGCCCTGAAAACTGCAGTAATTAAACCGCTCCGAAAAAAGCATAACTTAGACACAACCGTAATGAATAATTACAGGCCAATATCAAACCTTCCTTTTTTAAGCAAATTGATTGAAAAAGTTGTCTTTCAACAGTTGAGTCATTTCATGTTTTTAAATGACGGTTTTGATGTGTTTCAGTCGGGCTTTCGACCTAACCACAGCACTGAAACTGCACTTGTAAAGGTCTTAAATGGCATTCATTGAAACACAGACAGTGGCAGAATATCAGTTTTAGTATTATTAGATCTCAGCGCTGCATTTGACACTGTTGACCACAACATATTGCTAGACCGTCTAGAAAACTGGGTGGGAGTTTCAGGAACAGCTCTAAATTGGTTTAGTACCTACTTAAAGGACAGAAAAAACGTTGTCTCAATAGGCAACTACACATCAACTTTGACAAATATGTCATGCGGGGTTCCTCAAGGCTCCATCTTAGGACCTTGGCTTTTTAATATTTATATGCTACCTCTGGCTGAAATTATTAAAAAGAGCGATCTAAGCTATCACATCTATGCAGACGACACCCAGATTTATTTTAAAATCACACCAGGAGACTATTCTCCGATTAGAACACTGAGCAAGTGCATTGAGCACATCACTGACTGGATGACTCAGAACTTTCTCCAACTGAACAAACAAAAAACTGAGATCATTGTTTTTGGAGCAAAGAAGGACCGATTAAAAGTAATCGCAGAGCTTCAGTCGGCAGACTACAAAACCACTAATAAAGCCAGAAATCTAGGTGTAGTGACTCAGACCTGAATTTCAACAGCCACATTACAACAGTCATTAGGTCTGCATACTATCACCTGAAGAATATATCGAGGATTAAAAAACTAATGTCACAACAGGACTTAGAAAAGCTTGTCCATGCTTTTATTTTCAGTAGACTCGACTACTGCAATAGTGTATTCACAGGGCTGACAAAAAAATCCATCAGAAAGCTGCAGCTGATTCAGAACGCTGCTGCACCTGTCCTCACTAACACTAAAAGAGTCCGGTTCTGAAATCTTTACATTGGCTTCCAGTCGGCCAAAGAATTGATTTTAAAGTACTATTGCTAGTTTTTAAATCATTACATGGTTTAGGACCAAAGTATATTGTTGAACTCCTACACAATTACGAGCCATCAAGGTGCCTCAGGTCTTCTGGGACGGGTCTGCTATCGGTTCCGAGAGTAACAACAAAACATGGGGAGAGGCAGCATTTAGCTATTATGCCCCGACACTCTGGAACAAACTACCCAAATCATGCACGTCCGCAGAAACGCTTACCATTTTTAAATCGAGACTAAAAACATATCTCTTTGCCGCTGCTTTTAATTGAGCTGCTCATATTCGAACTACAGTATGCCTTTTAAACATGTATTGTATACCTGTGGTGTTTATTTTTATTATTTTATTATCTTTGCTTTGTAATGCCTGTTGTAAAATGCCATTATATAATGTGTTTTTACTGTATTTATTCATAAAAAGTATTTTAATTTGTTTTGTAAAGCACTTTGAATTGTCGCGTACAGAAAAGTGCTATATAAATAAACTTGCCTTGCCTTGCCTTGCCTAAATGTAATAATTCTCCAACAGATAATCCAAAACCTGCTCTCAATGTGTCTCGTTCATGGCTGAGTCCTGGAGCCTCCGTCACTCTGAACTGCAGTGTTACAGATTCAGCAGCAGGGTGGAGGTTTTACTGGTATAAGGCCGTTGCCAATCTGTCTATCAACTCCAACTACAGCTTTGAGCTACTACCCGGCAAGAGCAATGGGACTGAAAACAATACCTACGTTGTTAATGGACAGATACACACAGCAGGGTATGTGTGCAGGGCTGGAAGAGGAAACCCTGTGCATTACTCTTGGTATAGCAAACCAAAGTTTGTCTGGTCAGGAGGTGAGAATGTTTCTTTATGTCCCTTATCTACTGTATATCTGATTTCGCCATTAGGACGAATCTCTAAATGCCTCCTTAATTACCATTTTAAAAACACAAAGCATTTTTAAAGCAGGAAAAATGTGAATCTTTACTTATAGCAGGCATAACATGCTTTATTAAAAGTCACTTATTTTGTGTTCTGAACGCTGTAAGGTTGGTGGAAAAGGTATGGGAACAACTAGAACTTTTTTTCATCATGTAACACTGATCATATTTGGACCTAAATGTGCCCGGTAAAAGTTTGTAGTTTCCTCCTTCACAGAGTGCATCTACTCTAGGAGGCTGAATTCATGTTGAAAACATTCAGAAGATAATTTCCAATTATTCTGTTTTTGTATTTCAGATTCTCATGCACCATCAGTCAAAGTGAGTCCTGACAGAGTGCAGCACTTTTCCTCAGATCCTGTGTCACTGAGCTGTGAGGGGAACCAGTCAAGAGTGGTGAGGTTCACTGAAGCAGGCCATCTGTCAAACTGCTCTGACTGGGGGAGAAAGAACGGATCTACATGGATCATCAAAAATCTGACAAACAAAACAGCGGTGTACTGGTGTGAGTTTGCATCTGGTGAATTCAGCAATGCAGTCAACATTACTATAGGCCTACAAAGTAAGTACATTTTTGTCACAATTCCCTAACTGGATTTATATTACAAATGTATAACCAAGTGTCTGTGAGGATGATCTCTATAACTTGATATTCATTGACTGCTTTACAGGTGATGTTATCCTGGTGAGCCCTGTCCATCCTGTGACTGAAGGAGATTCTGTTCGTCTTAGTTGCAAAGTGAAGAGCGGATCATTATCTTTTAATGTTTCTTTCTTTCGAAATAATACTCTCCAAAATTATACCAGTGCTGAGCTGAGGATCTCTGCAGTGTCAAAGTCAGACGAAGGCTTCTACATGTGTCGATACGCAGAAAAAAAGTCAGCACAGAGTTGGTTGTCAGTAAAATGTGAGTATGATTACATTTGTCTCTTATGCGCTTCCTTTTCCATTAACTAGGTTGCCATCTGAGGTGAAGAAATACTTCCTTTCTACTTAGAAATAGCACTGGTTAGTGTGGTTATCTATGAATGTTCTATATGTCTTCACATGTATACACTTGCATACGTATGTGTTAGTTTGTAAAGTTTGTGCTTTAAATAGGGTGTATATATTAAGTGTTTATTTTCCGTTTTTATCATATATGTGAAATCCAGCTTTAAGCTCTGTTGAAGAAAGATTGAATCTATGAAAACCTTTTTTTTGTAGCAGCATCCAGTCCTGGAAAAATGAACAGATCATCTATTCTGCTACTGATCATTGGGTTGGTTTGTGGGATTGTTGTGTTCATTTTCCTGCTGCTATTCTGTTGCTGCATGAAGTCCAAAGGTGAGACATTTTCCTTTTGATATTTGATGGATCTGAAATTGTAGTGCGTCAGTTTATAATACAAAGAACATCAATGTCTCTTTTTTACAGATTCAAGCTTTGCAAGGTCGGTACAAGTCTTTTGAACTTGAAAGCAGTACTAATTTAAAATGTCTTCTATATTTTATACCATGTGTTATTTCTATTTTTTTGTTTACTTTATTCTTAGGACCACACTGTTTCAGAGAACCAATCAGGGCTTTGCTCCAGATCAACTGGTTAATCTGAACGAAATTCAACCGCAGCATCCTTCCTCTCATCTCCACGGTCAGCCTGAAAAATAATCAAGATTAAGTTCTCATTTCATATTTTTGCCATTTTTAATGCTAATTTTCTGGTATAGGTGAAATATCTAAGCTCTTTAATCAAAAGACAAAATCCATAAAGCTGGAAAGTAGTTTACTCTTCTTAATATTAATAAAAGATGATAACATTATGGTTTATGTTGTGAAAATAGCTTTAATGCAATTTGGGTTACACATTTGAGTCTTTAAGTTAAGCTTTAATTTAAGCTATGTGTATTTCAGATGAATCCGGCGATGTCACTTACTCTTCGATTCACCTTAAAGACATTAGAAAGACCGGTGAGTACTCAAGATACAAGCAATAAATACTTATTCTCCTATTTTTTAATCAGATAGATGTTATGCTGACAAACTACATTCTTATTTATTTCCGTTCATAGAAAACTCCTCTGCTGCAGAAGAAACGGTTTATTCTGAAGTGAAACTAGACAAAGCTCCTGGTAATAATGTTACATGCATCTTCTTTATTTAAAACACAAATATTTTTTAAATAACCTTTTATGTCTGCTTTCTCTCTTATTTCCCCCCAGGTCCTTGAAGACATTTATTTTGCTTATTTTGTATATAATTAACAATTTTTTATGTAATTTTAACATGGATTCATACTGTATGTTTTTAACTGGAGTTTTTTTTTTAAACATTTAAAATATTGGTCTTCAACTATTGTATGCAGCAATAAAAAATGTTTTCAGCAACAAGCCATGAGTCAAATTTTTATAAACGCTTTTATGTAATGATTTTGTCCACATAGTTTTGTGAAGTACCAAAGTACCACACAGCCGTAACAAAAACTAAAAGACATACACAGTAAATAAAACCATAAAATAAACGTTTGCTTTCTTCAGTTTCCAACTTTAACATTTTCATTACTTTCGCAAAGTTTAATGATTTTGCAGTTAGTATACAGGATATAAACCAACTTAACTGATAAACAGGACGTTATGCAATACTTGAGCCGACAGATGTTAATCAAATTCGACCTAAGTAACAATAAATGGGGCGAAGCCTGCGAGCTAGTTCAGGCAGTCATCTCGAGCACTTATGCTGCATTCATACATAACGCCCCTTGCCACTCTACAACCAACCAAACAGAGTCTCCTTAATATGCCGCTTTATAAAGTTTATTTATAAAGTTTATTTATAAAGTTTATTTATAAAGCGCTTTTCACAGACAAAGTCACAAAGTGCTTGACAAAACAATAAGACATCCACATATGGAGGCGTACAATGATAACTCGGAATATGTCCGTCAGCTCAGTCTGTAGGGACTTGGCCTGCACCGTAGGGTCGCCGGTTCAAGTCCCCGAATAGACTGGTACTTTGAGATGTCACAGTCCCCTTCTGGGCACTGCCTTGGTGCCCTTGAGCAAGGCAATTTACCTTAATTAACTTAACGTATGTTGAAGTTTGAACTTATCCCGAAAAAAATGCTGAAAGGATTTAATAAATAATAATAATAAATCCTATTTGTATTGTTACATTTTTGTTAGTAAAATGTAAACAGTATCATTTCTCTGTAAGGTAAGGGCTGTAATACAGTATTTTCACCCAAAGTAGAAACACATGGACAGTAATGATCTTATTTTATGTTTTGTACCAGACCTTTCCTGTAGGGGGCAGTGTGACCCTGACTTGAGCTGTGTACGAACACTTCGTGCTGCTACTCCAGCATTTATTATGAAATGCACTGAAGGTCCATATATACCTCTAGGTCCGTGTGCATATCAAATTAAAGTAAATACAGGCGTCAAACATTTAAAATGGTTTTAAAAGTAATTTAAGGAAACTGATGATTTCATTGATATTTCAGGATAACTGGGAACAGCTTTGAAAACTTGACATCAAACATTTCTAATGCGTATAAAACTTTGAAAACGTTATATGGTAGCTGTATCGAGTTGCATTTATAATAATTGTGTTTCAGTTCTATACAAAGATATGCATCATCACCAAAATAGCAGAGGCCTGTAGAAACAACATATCTTTTTTTGCCTTACTTTGTGTTTTTTTACGCTGATGTCACATAACAGTTGTATTTTATGGGAAACACCCTGTGTGCAGACATGCACATCAACAATTTTATTTTCATATGTAATGAACAGTTGCTAGAAAACAACATTTACAATACATATATTCAAACTTAAGTCCTTTTCCCCTATCATGGAGGACAATTAACTCCATTATTTAAAAAAAACAAGTTAACTTTTGATCAAGCAGAGAGTATTCTTTCCTACGCTTTGTCATGTCAGCAACATTATCAGCAACTTGTTGGTGGCCTCTAGTTCTGCTTTCAGTTCCTAAGATGTTCATGTGGTCATAGTTCAATGCACACTTTGTTTAACTATTATCTTTTTTTACACTATGTAATAATAAGGCGCAAAAATAAAAATGGTCAACCTCGTTGTGGCACTAGAGGCAAATGTAGTCGTTCTAACTGAGGGACAGTCAGTCAGAAAGAAAGGCCGACTGACAAACCATACAGGTCACTGAAATAATGCTAGGTTTTGTAAATGTACTCAAAACCAGAGGAGGAAGAAGTACTCAGATCCTGTTTTTAAGTAAAAGTAGAAGTACCAACTGTAGGAATACTTGATTTCAATTAAAAATCCTGCAATTAAAATGTTACTCAAGTAAAAGTACAAAAGTATTTCCATCAAATATACTTAAAGTACCAAAAGTTAAAGTACTCATTAGCCGCGTTCACACCGGAGTACTTTTCACCGTACTTTTCGCGTTTAGTTCCGTTAGTACCCCTTATGTCGCGTTCACACCAAAAAGAGCACTTCATCTCGGGAACTTTTACCCCCATTTTTAGTCTCTGCTGAGAGATGGTACTTTCCAGGGAGGAAAAAGTGCCCCAGTTCTGATTGGCTGGGCGAATTGCCAGTAAACCCAAAGCAGAAGAAGACGATGTGACGTCAGCGGCTCATTTGCGTAATCTTCCCTCAGGGAATTTATTCCGGTGTGAACGCGATCTGTACTAAATGCCCTGGGGTAATAAGTACCGGGGCACTAAGTGCCGGCACTAAATACGGCAAAGTACTTGGTGTGAACGCGGCTATTGTGCAAATGGCCCCATTTCAGAATCATATATGATTTGTTTTGGTTATCATTATTGATGTATTGTTGTGTTTATCAAGCTGGTAAAACTAGAACTAATTTCAATTCCTTTATTTACTGCTGGGTAGAATGTGAAATCAATCCGGGTGTATCTACAGGTTTTTGAAGTGTTGATCGTATTGTTTATCATTAAGCTGTATGCAAAGTAACTAAAGGTAGTAGAGTGAAAGTTCAATAATTACTGTACCTCTGAATTGTAGTGGAGTAGAAGTACAATGTAGCATAAAATGGAAATGCTCAAGTAAAGTACAAGTACCTCAAAATGTTACTTAAGTACAGTACTTGAGTAAATGTACTTATTTACTTACCCCCTCTGCTCAAAACGTATAGTTAGAAAAAAGGAAAGTGACCGACATGACATGTGTGGGCTAAATGCAATTGGAGATGTCATTGTAAAACGTTGTTCACAGATATAAAAATGGTGTGAATTAATAGAGAAGTAACACAAGCAAGTGTTTGTGAGTATCAGACACAGTTTTCCCTGGTGCTCTTTAGGTGGGCAGCATCATCAGCGCTTCTGTTTCCCCCTGTGAGTTTCACATCAGCCTTTTACCATAAAGTTCATAGGAAATCATGTTAGGTTGCAGAGCACAGACCACCTCTGCAGAAGCAACACTTTGTAAAGTGTAGTTTATTGTAAGGTGACAACGGCTACCAGTAATCTCTGCCGGAAGAGGTTATAGTTCCTGCTAAACAAACCATCATGACATCATCACTTTCCTTCCCAACCAATCCATGGATTTTAAGTTTTTGAAATGAGTCTTTGCTACGTCTCCCCCCAAATATTAAAAGGGCATTGACATACATGACATACGTGTAAGCCTTTAGCTTTATTCTGGGAACTTACTTCCTTATGTGGTCACATGTGGTCGAGCTTCACACAAACTCTAGTGATGCGATAAGATCCATGCAGTTGTGGGCCTTCGTCATGCAAGCACTGCTGCAAAACAATTCAGTTTTCTCTAATCATATTCTGTGGAGAAATATAAAACTTGCAATGCAGTAAGAAAGTTTGTTGAAATACCAGCTTCTCAGGAGGCTAAAAGGCGAAGGGTTAGGGATTTTGATACCAATAAATGGTACTGATCCTAAGTTCCAGTGGAAAAGCCCTATTGGTTTTCACATTGGTCTTATTTACAACAGAAACAGTCTGCTTTGAAGTCACCATCTTTTCCCCAACTCACATTCAGACAGTAGCAGGCTTTACTACTTGCATGGTAGCTATCTGAAGCTCAGCTAGGACAATACGGAAATTGTGCTCCTTTGGTCAGAAGGATCCCAAACAAAGGCCTTTCGATTCAACCCATTTTTATTTGCATCTTATCCGAAAGCATCCAATACAACATAAGGAGTATTTGTCCCCTCCCTACTAGAGAAGGACAGGTCTTGTCATCTTCAAATATCTTCTATCTCCTTATTGGAGCAGCTTAGTCTACCATCAAAATTCCGTAATGCTCCTGCCCGCCGATCCCAAAACGTATTTAAATCTTCTCTGTTCTTTACAGTTGCTCTCTGTTGCAGTTTTCACTCAATTTAAGATTACTGCCTCTAACGGGAACTGCTTTTTTGAACTTTTAAGTAAATGTAAAAGCTCACACTATAACGGGACCATTGCTCTCTGCCTCTAGGCTGGCCACACTTTTTGTCATTGGACTCTGTGTTTGTTCTCTGTTCTGGCCCAGCAGTGGTGTTATACTCCCCACTTAAGACAAGACAGCAGAGGTGTTACTGCTCCTATGCACTTCTACTGTAGCACTGAACTTGCTCTTAGTTGTTTTTGAAGACATTTACTTTTTGACAGCTTGAACATATATCACCTCAGCATCTGCATCCATGAACATGCATCTGATAACAGGATGTGGTTGAGTTCTTCCTGCTCTGAGCAATAAAGATTTGAGCTTGAAACTTCATATATGTATTTTTGATATAGCTGCCTGCAGATATAATGTTTGTCCACTTGAGTGAGTTAAGGGTAGGAAAATGAACACAAGGGTTTATAGCAAATAGTCAATTGAACTGACCCTTAAACTCTTCTTTTTTATATACTTTCCAGTTGTTATCTTCTTGATATGTCTACTTCATCTTGCATTATATTTCAGGCCAGATAACTTTTTCTGCTTCTTTGTCGACAGAGAACTCCCCCACCCACCCACCCTCTTTTTTTTTAGAACTGTCACCGCGCAGTTTGATAGATGAGAAAAGGAAACAGACGTTGTTCCTCTCGCCACAAAGATGGTTGGTGGTTGCCAGAGCTGCTTCTTAACATACATTTCTGTGCTACTTCTTGGCTGCTTCCTCCATGGTATGTGCATCTCAGCTTTAAACTTTATAGATTTGTACTTTTATGGGGAACATTTTGATGTACTCTGTGTTGTTCTTGCAATAAGGAAATTAGGTCAAGATTTCAGAATTGACTGGACATGCGCATGTCATATTGGGAAATGGCGTGTATTCATTTGGAGATGACTATAGTCTTTGTTTCTTGTTTGTTTGCAACTGCAAGACGTTTGAAAAGCACCAGTTAGATATGGGGCTGCAGCTATGGCAGAAAGAAACTGACTGGGACATCCATATTGAAGAAATAGATGGTTGATAATATAATTTGCTCTCTCCTGAAATAACAAATATATACATTTTTCATGGAGCTCAACATCTATCAAAAAATGGAAGCTTATAATGTTGTTTATAGGCAAACAGTTGTATCCGGTGGTTTTATTTTTAAATGTGCTTTGAATTTTCTGGAACACTGTGTCAGCGAATTTTCTGCTGCAACTGCTTGGCTACAATAATCAAATCTTTACACAACGCAGGGATGGGTCATCCTCTCCGTTTTGCTGGTTCCTCTTTGTTGTGTTTTTTTACGAGTATTCGTTAATTTGTTATAGCTACAGTATTCATTTACTTAAACAGTATATTTAGACGAATCACAAGTCTTACAGTATATAGAGTACTTGCTTCCATGCACAAAGTGGATTGGACCTTCTCAGAATATCTGCAGAAGTTTGAAGTGTTACAAAAAAAGATCCTGTGTTTTCCGAGAACCCTTCTCCACTAGCACTGACCGACAGTGATGTACTGTACAGGATCAAATTAGCTTTCATTTAAACTTCGTCACTGAGGTCAGAGTCTTTGGTTGGAGTCTCTTCTCAGAAATTAGGCCATGGTTACCTGGCCAGCTTTGATGACTGTTATTGTGCTAAAATGTTAAATGGGCAATAGTGTCAGCTGCGAACAATTGTTTTCTTATTTGGTACGTTCAATAACCCTACTGTTCATCACATAACTACTACTGAGACATTTTTAGTGGCCAATCTCAGGATAAAATGTAATTTATTCCCTTTTCTGAATGCCAAAACCGTTTGTCAATGCATTTCCAACAACTCATAACAATTGGAAATATGACTAATATAAGTATTTTCCGATCCTACCCCTGTAATATAAAAAGTTAAGTCAGGTCAGTAAAGATAGTTGGTTATGTCATAGTTAAAGATAACCAGGTTGACATGGAAATAGTTTTCTGACTCGTCGTATTATTAATCAAATCAGACATGCTATACTTATTAAATGCTATTTTAGATCATGTTGTGCATGATGGTATTGAACATGCTCTTTTTTCCTCTTACATTATGTTAGGAACATTACCATACTACTTCATGTTGCAAACAAGGTGAACACAAGCAATATTAAGGCTTTCCTAATGTTGAGAAACTCATTTGACAGTCTGTTGTTTGCTTATGTGTTTCAGATGTGGAGGCCTCCAATCCTCAACGTGAAATCCACACAAAAGTTGGAGACACTGTAGAGTTGTCATCAGGCTTATCGACTGAAGGGCTCACCGTGGCAGACTGGATATATGAAGGGATCAAAATTGCAGACGAAGAGGGTGAATTCAAAAATACTCAATTTGATGGCAGATTAGAATTGAACCCAGACAATTTCAGTTTAACATTGAAAGGATTGACCCTCAAAGATTCTGGTGGATTCAGTTTTATCTCAGCCAAGAGAACAGGCCAACGCCCAACAGTCATCATCACCCTGCATGTTCATGGTAAGTCGTTTCCAAGTAACCTATAATAAGAATTCCATAAATAATAATGAACACTATGTTAAGTAGTTTCTTGATTGAATAATTCCTTTAGAACACATGCCTTTATAATGGAAAAATATCAACTACTGTTCTTTATTTATTGCGCTTTCCACTCATGACCTATTGAAACATTATATTATTATAGATAATATTATTAGACAGACAGACTGTTAAATGTTGATGGTGTCTGATAATAAAACTATTATGTCAATATTATTCGATATCATGTAAGGCTTATACTGTACACAGCCTACTATATCAATAGTTGGTCAAAACTCCATTGTCCACACAAAGAATAATAATAATAAGAAATAAACTTTCTGACACTCTTTATTATTCGATTTAAACAAAATGGATGACTATATTTTGGATCTTTGGTTTGGAATAAAGGTTTAAAAAAATAGATTTTCTCTCTCCCCACCAATCGTCTCATTAGAGCCCATAACTAAGGAGCCCATCGTCAATTCCAGTTCCACCTGGCACACCTCGAACGAATCCTGTACAGTTCTGCTGGAGTGCAGTGCAGCCACTACTGGCAATGTCACCTACCAGTGGACCGTGGGAAACAAAACCTTCAACGGCTCCAGGCTGCAGCACATCATCAGACGACAGGACGAAGACAGCAAATTCACCTGCACAATTTCCAATGTTGTCAGTGAGATGTCGGCAATCAAAACAGTGACGTGCAGCAACACTACATCGCCAGAAAGAGGTATGTGCAGAGAAGTGATTGTAGTTTATTGGTGTAGTTTGATGATATTTTATGATTTGAAGCTGGTGATTAAAATAACTGTCCATTTTACAGTGAAAACACCATCATCTGCAGGAACAGGCTTCTTCTTTGCCCTGATTGTGGGAGCCGGAGGTTGTCTGCTGGTTGCCGTTATAGTTGGAGCAGCTGTGTGTGGTTATCGCCACAAACAAAGTCAAGCAGGTAAGACACGCTGCATTGAAGCAAATCTTAAAGCAAAGACAAACAGACTTAAAGACAGTTTCTTTCCCAGAGCAATAACTGCACTAAACTCCAGCATGCACTGACACAATATATATATTTATCTGAATATTGAAGTATGAATGCTTGTTGTTTGTATGTTGTCTCCTCCTGAATGTTGTACGTCTCTTGTTGGAGTGGCTCTACTCATCTCCTTGTACCTGTATAATGACAATACATGATTATATTCTATTGAATAGTAATGTGTCTTTCATGTTGTTGTTTGTTATGATCCATGCATGACCATTTTTATTATGCTTTGTTTCTTTCATTAAAACCTACCACCAGTCGTTGACTCAAATGACCTCACAGTGTATGCTGATATTACTGATGTTGCAATCGGGGATGTAAGTATGCTCATGTATTTACTCTGCACAAACAATCTGTAACAATCAAATGCTTGTTTTTTGAAGGATGAAATGCATGTGTCTAACCCACTTTGCCCTCTGTTTTTCTTATCTTTGTGTATTATGCACATTCAAACCTCCAGAAGCCATGCTCACTGTATGAAACCATTGATAACAGAGGCAACACGGTCCCACCGGGGGTAAGAGCAGAACTAAAAAATATACAATTTCACATTTCCTACTTCTAAGGACAAAAAAATGGGAGTGATATGGTTCAATCTGGAAAATGTACCCTTATGGAATAACTCTATAATTTCTTTCAGGCCAAGAACCCCTTAGCTAAAAGAGAGACTTAGCAGGGACTCCCTATTATAAAATGAAGCTTACACACTTAACTACAACGACATGTAGGGCTCGATGATTTATATTAATGTAGGGTCATGAATTCCTGTTGCTGACCATTTTTTAAATGTATTCATGAATAGTGGATGGACTATATTATTATATTATCACTTTATCACTACTGACGACCCATTCACCCACACATTCATTACATTACATGACATGTTACTTGTTAGACGCTTTTATCCAAAGCGACTTACATTCAATACTGTGGGCAATCCCCACAGGAGCAATTTGGGGTGAAGTGTCTTGCCCAGGGACACAACGACATGCTGACTGCAGTGGGGTTTGAACCTGTGCCCCCCTGATCCGAACACCAACGCACTAGGCCACTGTGCCACAGCCTCCCTTACATGCATACACTGATGTGATGAAGTGCTGCCATATGAGCTGCCATCTACTGTTAGAGGGTGGTGGAGCACCATTAAAGTCACATAATGACCTCCCTTATTTAAAAAATAACTGATCTGGAATCAAGACAATTTGGTTACTTTATGAATGCATAAAGTTACTGTGAATTCACATTATTACATTACATTTGAACCAATCAGATCAACTCATGGACTTGATAATTTGTTAATGGTCTGCAACAGGAATTTATATTACATGCTGCATTAATTCCTGCACTGAATCATAATAAGTCATGCATAAATAAGCAGAATCTGAGTAAATGAACTGTACCCTTATTATAAAATGTTGTTTTAAAGAGATTTGCATCAACTTGTGACACTATATTTGATTGTTTTCCTCCTTTTATCACCCATCTAGCCCAATACGGTGTACGACAAGATCCAGTTAAATCGCGTGAGGAATGAATCGGTGTCGCCCTATCAAGAAATTTCCTAGAGGGTCATAGCATGATGTATATAGAAAATATCAGTAAATACAATAAGCACAAAACGGACTACAAGAAGGTAATGTCATACTGTCTTTGGCCTTAAAGGATTTTTTACTTTCCCTTTATCACATTCAAAAACAACCTTTATTATATCTCAACTGCCAAATCTACAGGATCACATTTTATTCGATGAACAGTGTTGTAAAAATTTGTAAATAGAGAGGTTATATATTTTTGTAATATCCCATGCAAATCGTTTGTGCATTCACCCTCCTGAGGCCTGCCTCATTTTTTGAAGCCTGCTGTGCAAATGTCTTCATATTAAATGACTATAATACATTACAACTATTGTCAATGTTTATTTCTGAGCATTTTGTGCAAGCTTGTTGCTTTATCAAAGGTTTATTTAACATTTGGTATGAATTGAACAACAATGCTAAACATGAATATAGGAAGCTTTTATCAATATTGTGCAGATTTTTGGTTACGTGAATGATTAAACACAACAGTACAACATTTGTATAAGAAAAAACAAATCTAATTCAAATTGTTTGTATGTATATAAATTGGTGTTACTGAAACAAATCTTCCACATAAATGTTTTCAGTCAAAGTGAATAAACAAAAGTGCAAAAATGTATCTTAATAAACAATGTATTTTTGACCTTTAAAACACAGAAAATGTTCTACAAAATTGCTTAAATAACACAATTATTATACATATACCGACATAATATGGATACAAATGTACATTTTTACAACAAAATGGTAGCAATTTCAAAAGTAAAAAAGTGTTTAACGGATACAAAAAAATCACTTTTCCACACATTCATTTGATCTGTTTTGGTTCTTTGGATTTTGCGTAATATTGCACAGGTGTTCATTTATTGTTGTAAAATACATTCATGTGTTTTTGCTTCCTAAATAAATAATAAACGGAGTGCAGCGTTCGTTATATTTGAACCATTTGAACCACCACTCTATTTACAGTCTGTTGTACATTTGCTTACACTTTTTTAAGTTCTACAACACTACCATTCACATAACTGTAGTGTTGGCATCTTCAGAAGCTGATGTTTGTATGCAGTTGTAGATTTCTTGTTGTGGGAAAAAGAGAGACATGATGTTAACGAGCAGTAACAGAAACACAAAAGCAACAAAATAAAATGAATGAATATATCTTACAGTGTCTAATCCGTTTTCATCCCCAAATGTCATCTTGCTCTAAGACCTCCAATTTTGGTGTGGTGCCACAAAATGTGTTATTTTAATCATTAATTGGTTCTATTTTATAGTTAGCTAAGTCTAAGCTTACATGTACATTTCAGAATTCTGCAGTATTATGCTTTAATGCTGTAGATCTATTTGTAAATGTAAAAGGGATTTTATAATTAAGAATTTCCCTCCAAACAAGATGTTTTCCTCTTACCTCTCCGATAGATTACTAAACATGTCAGGGCAACGCCCAGGAAGAATCCCACAACAAACAGAGCAAGATAATAAATCCTGGGCTTCGACTTGTCCTCTGTAAGAACAAGGGAAAGAACAACATAATATTAAAATTAGTTTCTTAGAATCTGGCACACTACAAAAACTCAAAATCTAAGCAAGTGTATTTGTCTAATTTCTACAAAGAAAATGTCTCTACACTTGATATAAGACCTCTTAACTTAAGGAGTAACAATGCAGTGAGATATAGGCTTTTGTTTTTAGACAAAGCATCATGGAAACATATTTTCTTTTGTTGAATCTCAGATGAAAGAAGGTTTATTTTTACATTTGTATTACAGTAGATAATCCCCAACTAACATCAGAAAACAGAAAACTTTTGAGCATTTCTGGCTTATTTTGTAACATATCCTGATTTTGTTCAAATATAGCTCAAAATTACAAGATCTGACTCATCTAAATATCCCGTTGTAACGGAGGGGATCTCTGGGCCCATAGATCTCGGCCTCCGTTACGGGTAATATAGCACTAAAAACATTGCACAGGAAGCATGGGAATATATGTAATTTATGTAACTCGTTTGTCTGTCTCTGTTTCCTGGTTTTATTCTGAAAAGTGTTCCCCTTTCCCCATGTCTGTTGCCGCTGATTGTGTGCACCTGGTGCCCTGTGTTGTCTCCTCCCCCCTCACCTGTGTCTAATTGCTCCCCCCTCACCTGTGTCTTGTTGATTAATTAGTGTGTGTGTATTTAGGCTCTGTGTTTCCTGTTTGTAATGTGGTGTGAGATGCTTGTTGCTGGTGACTGTGGTCACATGAGACAGTAAGATTGAGGCTGTGTATCCTGTACCACAAGGAGTAATAAATGCCCACACCGGGTTATATTTGAACTCTCTGCCTCTGCCTCCTTGCTTGGTCGGGCCGCTCAACGGTCAGCTTCACACCCGTCTTATCTCAATAGATCTTACCAAGCTAATGTTCACTTCTATTGGCAGATTTGACTGATTTAAAGTAAAAACACCTTGTTTTTGGAGCTGCATTTAACATGTTTTTTCTTTTAACTCCCTTGTGACCTTACCACATTTTAAAGTGACAGCACTGGAGGCGTTCTCTCTGTCGTTCTCCCTGTTCCTGATGGAGGTGCACCTGAATTCAGCCTGGATCGCTGTGCTGTTCAGAAAGGCAAAAAGAACTGCAGAGCCGCCTTTAGGATGGGTCTCACTGATGAAAGTTTCAGCATGCCAGAACAAGTCGTTGACTTTATCCGTTGAGGAACAATTCAGCCGCCACCAACAGCTTCCTGCTGCTGCTGGAAGAGAGGCAGTGTCTATCGTCGGCTTCTGGAGGCGTTCTGCAGGGGGTTTAAATTGGAATTGTAGATGATATATTCGACAGAATTTCCAAACCTGACTGCTTTTTTAGCAACATGTTGAACTTCCAAAACAAAAACTTGAAATCTTGCCAAGTATATTTGTCTTATATCTAGTCAGAATATGTCTTTACACTTGCTATAAGACATAATAACTTCAGAAGTAACACTGCAGTGAGATATCGGGTCTTGTTTTTAGACAATGCATCATCTTGTTAAAGGTCCCCTATTATACTGTTTTTCATAAATATATAATAGGTCTCAGATATATACAGAACATGTCTCTGAAGTGTTTGGCTCCATAATCCCCTCTGTTTCAGCCCTGTTTCAGAAGTGCTGATTCTCCGTCTGTTACTTTAGATGAAAATAAGGAGCCACTCCCCACGCCCCTCTGAGAGATAGGGGGGGGGTGGTTGGTGATTGGCTAATGGTCACACAACCCAAAAAATCGTTATGACATAAAGTGGCCAAAATCTGATCAGCTCATTTTCAGACAGGTTTTTATATAAATGGATCAGGACAAAAAGAGAGAGAATCTTTTTTCCTGAAACTGTCTGAATCTCTTACCACATGTTGATGTATAAAAGACATGAAAAGTGGATTTTGCATAGTAGGTGACCTTTAAGTCAAAATATCTTATTTTGAGTTGTATCTCAGATGAAACTTTTTTTTTTTCACAAAATGATTGGAAAATCCCCAGAAAACACTTTTGAGCATTTGCGGCATATATTGTAACACAGCATTTCCTGATTCTGGAAACATATAGTTCTCAATAAGTTTTCCCAGCTAAGCATCTGATTTGTCTAAATATCACTTCTTATTTCAAGAAATCTTACCAAGCTTATTTTCACTTTTCTATTGGCAGATTTGTGTATTTATTTCAAGTGAAAACACCTTGTTTTCATTATTTTTTCAACAGAAGCATTTTTTCCAGCAAGCTGTCCTAAGACAATGTTTGACAATTACTTTTTTTCAGTCTCTTCTCACTTACGCTTCACTTTGAGATCAATCTTGTGTGCGCTGTTGTATCTCTCAGTATCGGTGAGGTCTACATTGTACTGCATGGCATCCTTTGAAGTCAAACCAAGGATAGTTAAGTCACCTGAAAAAAAGACAAAGAAATTTGAAGAGACACTGCCACGAGAGAAATAAAGAAATGATTCCTTTACACTTATTCGTCTTTCACCTGAGGAGTTGTTAAGACTGAGTCTCCCTTTATATGGGTCAAACCACTCCAGCTGTATTGCCCCTTTGGATAAGGTGGCGATCAAGGTGTTATTTGTGTATATTGACCAGTTGATCGTGGAAAGAGTCCTATTCGGGTTGGCTCCTGAGAGCAAGGTGGCGCTCTCCCCAATGTAACCAGTGACGTCCCTGTAGGATTCAGCTGGTGTCACTGTAAAACAATAATGCATCAACATTACAGTGTTTTAGGTGTATTCACTAACTTATCTCTGGTGACATTTGACAAAAAAATGATGGCAAAGACAACTAAGCAGTAAGCACCAATCTGGATTCTCAGCTTGGTGGACATCTGTACATGTTTTTCACTGCTGTTAACCCACCTTATTTAGGGTGTTAGCATGCTAACATTTGCTAACACAAACACAACATAAAGTATACCTGAGGGAGATGGGAACGTTTTCTGTTTTACAAGTCATTAAAGGTGGGGTAGGTAATTTTGGAGAAACCAGCTTGAGTGTGCTAGAATTTGAAAATACACAGCCGGAAAAAATCTCCCACTTCCTTACAGAGCCCCTCCTCCAACACACACGAACGCGCACATGACCAATGAGGGCACGAGATAAGTTTGTGCACAGATGGAAGGCTGACAGGCAGGTAGGCCATCCAGTTATTTTAGCCGGGCCGGCTAAAATGATTGGTCGTGCTTTTTACAGTACTACGGCTTCCACAGATGACATTTTTTTATGGATTTTTTGTCAAAGCACTTAAGATTGCTATCGGGATGTTAAGAGCATTCCATGGAATATAACAAAAAGTGTATCTCGAGCCGGTTTCTCAAACTTACCTACCCCACCTTTAAGTATTGGATAAACTGCCATTTTGACCTGATGATGGTGCTATATTAAATGTGAATGGATCAAATATCATACAAAGCATCACCTGGAGGCTATGCATAGGCCTAATTTCATGTTGATAAATAAAATTGATGAGTTATCGACATGTTGTTTTTTGGACATACTATACTATGTTGTTTTTGACATGTTATACCATTTTTTTTTTCTGTAGCTCTTTTGCTTAATTAACTTTCATTCATAATTTTTAACATACTACACTATGACTTGTTTTTGGACACACAATTCTGTGACTGTTTTTCATGTTTTTTGACATTCTACAATATGGAAGTTTTTCATATTTCTTCATATGTTACTATGCCTTTCTGACATACAAGCGTAGGATTGCCATGCATCCTTCATGCTATACTATGACTTTCAAGACAATATTATGACTTATTTTCTAATTAGGATACATACTATACTTAAATATACTAATACCATTTACTACTCTATGAAGCTTTACAATATGTTTGACATACTATACAATTGCTTTTTACATTACCTTCTTTAATGATAAACTGCAATGAATTATGACTTTTACTCAATACTGTACTATGACATTTCCAATTACTTTTTTACGAAACTTCTGACTTATTTTTTTATTTTTTCATAACACACTTAACCTTAATATTGTACAAATGTATTTTTCCATAACGTTATTTCTTAACACTCACAAAGTCTAGACACCGTTTGAAATGGTAGCCAAGTAGTGTATTAAATAAGTATTAAATGTAGTAAGACTGTAAAGGAAAGTATTGATATGCCTGTGGAAGAAAGATAACTACAACAGTCAGTACGAGTTATCCTCTAGGGATTGCTTCAGTTTAATAAAACATGATGAGTGACAAGTGTTACATATTGAGGCTTTTTTTAACTCTTGTAACAGGAAGTCAACCATTCAGCGGTGAACGGCATTTTGAATATGTTAAAGTTCTGAAGGTTTTACACATCAGCTACTGCTCAATATGTTCAGCAAATAAAACCAGGACATACTTTACCTCGGAGGAATAGAAGGACGAGTAGAAGTTTCATCGTTCCTGGCATCCAACACACTGACGGAGACCCGTGACACTTGACTTCTCCCTACTTCCTATTTCTGTCTAAAACACGTGGTCTGTGTGAGGAAGGACACAAAATGTACATGCCCGAGTTATTTCATCAAATGTATCATGCACAAATTCTTATTTTAACATATTTTTCCCTTCTTTATGACATAAGGCTTTGTTATCACAATGATCAGCCTAAAACAAATATATGCACTTTTTAAGGTAATTCTTTGTAAAAAAGAATGTGTAAATTCTTAAACTTAAGTAGTTTATTTTCTATGAAGTAGTATCCAACCCAATCTGAAAATTCTTTGTATTATTTCATATTGTTATTTCTTTTAGTTGTTTATAATTGCTATAGATACAAGGAGTAGGAGTTTACATATGTTCATAGCAATGGACAATCGTACACATCACTCCAGCATTACACCCACAGCCTCCCACACATAAGTGTCACTTCCTGAAGACGAAATAATGTAGAAATCTTATGATGAACACGGGACAATTTGTTTTTGGATGAGATCATTTATTAGAAAACCTTTTACATCAACTCAGTCCTAAAAAAGCACAGTAAACAACAAGCTTGATGTAAAAGACACTGTTCTTCTGAGTGTTAAATCGAGTACAACAAAGTGATCCATCAAAAAACAAGAAAATACAATCGTAGGAAAAGTACACTGCTTGTGAGTGGCACGACAATCTCTATCTGTAGTGTAAAAAAGGACATCTTTGACTGACATAAGACACAATATGTGGCCCCATTCGCCTCTAAGGGGCCCCTGATGACCCCTAGTGTAAACTAGTTCTCTAAAAGTGGAATGATTAGTCTTTTATTTGTTAGTTCATCAAATAAAATATGCAACTATTTTGATTACTGATCAATTATTTAAGCAAAACATAATCAACTTCTTATCTAAGGGGTTTTGACTTTTTGTGTCAGGTTAATTTGGTAATTTTGTTTAGCAATACATACTGTATGATGACTGTGTACACGAAAGTGTCCCGATTAAGAAATCAGTCTGTTTTTCGTGCTGCACAACAGTGAGAAATAGTTTAATTAACATGTAAAGGCATTAGCTGCGACTTGCATCCACATATGTAACTGAACTGTTGGCGGTAGAGTTGCATTGTGGGAAATGTAGTTGCTAAGCTGCAACCAAGGCAAGTCAATATGTGGAATAACGTTTTTTTCTGTCCATCATGAGTGTGACAGTGTTAAAGGAGTGCAATACTAAATATTACATTGTTAGGGGAAATACAATTTGACCCGTCTTAATTCAGACTGTGCTTAAGCTGAGAATGTTACAAATATAAAACATTTTAATCAATCACATGGAGGGAGCTTTTGGGTCTAAGGCCATGAGGCAGTTGGCCACTTTTTCCAGTACCAAAACACACACATTGACACACTCACTTTAAAATATCAAAGACATTAATCAACATGAAGCTGGCAAAATGAACCACATTGGTTGTACTTGGCTAAATTATGTTAAGAGTCCATCAAGTCCAATTCCAGCCTTGTAGGTGAAAAAAATTCGCCTACACTTGGTTTGAAAAGTCATATTTCTTATTAGTGCAGGATTGCATTTCACTAGATGATTCAACACAACCTGAGCAGGAAATACAAAAAAGCACAAATCCTCAGTGCATTAAAGTCCATCCAGTGTTTCTTACTTCAAACTTGTAGTGGAACATTTTCTAATCCAATTTTCAGTCGAATAAAAATATAAGACACAGTTTCACCTGTATTTGATTCACTCACAGAATCCAGTCCAATAGGTGATACAAGACGAGGGCACTTCAAATGGATGCTTGATTATGCCCTTTTATAGCATTTAAAAGCAAACGAGAAGTTCAAGTAAAAAGAGAAGTAGGAGTATCTGACAAAGTCTGATTGTGCATTTAAAAGGTCAGTGCACACTGAGGTGAACTGTTTGTCTACCACATCCTACCTTATTCTCTTGAATAAAGGTGTCGAATCTATGTCAAAAATAGGTGTGTAAGTGTGTTGAAATACCACGTTAAGAAAGCCCTTAAATGTCAGTATCATGGGAACTGGAAGCAGTCTGTAGTGCAATATCAGAAGTAACCAGTCAGCAGTTATAGGGAGTGTGACTAATGTTAGGTTTGTTTGAGGAACAAGGGCAGCGATGAGGCATTTCTGTTGCTTCTTCTCTGTCACTTCCTGATATTTCGGCCGAGTTGTCTGGGCGTCAGGCTTACAAAAAGATAAAAAACATTAAAAAAGAACTAACAAAAAGGTAAAAAAAGACTTGTTATTTCATCCTGCTCCTACACAGACGTCTCTGACTGCATCTTCATGACAAACTTGTGTCTTTTGGGGTCGATGAACTCCTCCCCAAGGTTCAGGAAAGGGAGGGGGGTCACCGTGACGACCAGGGAGAAGTCGAGGCGTCTCAGGGAGAAGACCTGACCCTGACGCAGGGCGGAGGTCACGGGCTCCTCGCTCACTAGGGTCCACTGGCGCCCCCTGCTGGTGTCCAGGTACTGCAGGGTGGGACCCGGGCTGAGGTACAGCTCCAGGAAAGCCTGAGCAGGAGTAAACAGAAAGATGACAGCTTGAATTATATTAAGAAAAAGTGGAGGAAAAAATCGGAGTAAAAAAAGGCGACATGATATGCAGAAGTAAAGAAAAAAGACTAAAATAAAACTAAAAACTAAAATAAATCTAGAACTAAAAAAGTGAAACGATTAAATCCAAAATAAAAACAAACACTATAAAAAAAATATATATTTTACTGATTAATAATTGTATTATATATTTATGCAAGAAGAACTGAAAGCTATAATTAATAACCCAATTAAAATAATACACAATTAAATTAATACAAATCATATAAATACAAATATTGAAACATAACTATTTGAAAAATACTATCATTGAATTAATTTATAAATTAAAGCAATACAAAAACTAACTAAAAGCTAGTCAAGACAAATAAACTCAAAACATTATACAATTAATTAAAAATAAATAAAACAATTCAAAATTATATGAAAGGATTATAATTTCATTTATTGATAAACTAAAACAAAAAATTAAAAACTATAATTAATAATAATAATAATACATTTGATTTATATAGCGCTTTTCCTGGTGCTCAAAGCCCTTAAAGATTTAAAATAATAATAACGATGATAGAAAGAAGTGGAAGCAGCCTTCCTCACCTTGGGGGTCATGCTGTGGGTGATGCAGAACTGCAGGTGGTTGATGATGCTCTCCATGCTGTGGTACGACTGCTGCCTGGTGGCGCGGAGGTATTTCTGCATGGCCCGGGCCATGGGGGCGAAGATGGCTTGGGCCGCCTCCCGAGGGTCCATCACCTCCCGCGGGTGTTTGGGGGACGACACGGACCCCTCGTCGTCCTGGTGACGCTTTATGTGGGTGAAGGCTTCCTCTACGGCCACCACCAGCCTGCGAGGAGAAACCAGGAGACCCCAAGGTTTAAATATCATATCATCAGTATTTACACACATAATGTGAAAAGTACGTTTGATAAAAAAATCATTAGAGTTTAAAGAGGTCCTATTAAGCTTTTTGGGGTTTCCCTTTCCCTGAAGTATGTTATAAAGGTTTTCGCGCATGTAAATGGTCTGCAAAGACAAAAATCCCAGAGTTTCTCCCCAGCCTGAAACGCCTCTATTGGACTCCTTTGTTGGACTCCTTTGTTTACTTCCTTAACATAGTGACATCACTACGTCACGCTAGCGCTCCAACGCATTGTACGTGATTAGGCTAAGGGGTGTGACATCTCTAAGCAGTTGACCAATCACAACAGAGCCGGCCAGCTAACCAATCAGAGCAGACTGGGCTCTGGTTTCAGACAGAGGGTGAAAAGAGGTGCTGCAGCACAGGCAGTATGAGAAAAATAAAGAGCTTTTTGAACATTAAAGCATGGAGACATGTAGAGACACTACATACTGATATACACCTGAACATCAGCAGGAGAGGACTCTTTAAAGTAGAGACACTACATACTGATATACACCTGAACATCAGCAGGAGAGGACTCTTTAAAGTAGAGACACTACATACTGATATACACCTGAACATCAGCAGGAGAGGACTCTTTAAAGTAGAGACACTACATACTGATATACACCTGAACATCAGCAGGAGAGGACTCTTTAAAGTAGAGACACTACATACTGATATACACCTGGACATCAGCAGGAGAGGACTCTTTAAAGTAGAGACACTACATACTGATATACACCTGAACATCAGCAGGAGAGGACTCTTTAAAGTAGAGACACTACATACTGATATACACCTGGACATCAGCAGGAGAGGACTCTTTAAAGTAGAGACACTACATACTGATATACACCTGAACATCAGCAGGAGAGGACTCTTTAAAGTAGAGACACTACATACTGATATACACCTGAACATCAGCAGGAGAGGACTCTTTAAAGTAGAGACACTACATACTGATATACACCTGAACATCAGCAGGAGAGGACTCTTTAAAGTAGAGACACTACATACTGATATACACCTGAAAATGAGCATAATATAAATCTTGCTTTGATAAACACATTACTGCAGTAATAATCTAATCTCTGATTTTAAAAGGGCCATATCACATATCAAGTACTTTTGGTACTTCTTCAGTTTGTATCTTTATATGTATGCGTTCTGTGTGTATGGGTCTGTCCTCACCTGGCTTTACGTTTGCGGACCCTCCGCTCCACCTCGGCCTCCTCGTAGTAATACTCCGTGTGGGAGTTGTCTCTTTTTCGAGAAGCGGCTGCTATCATGGTTCTGGACTGGCCTGTAGAGTTATTGGTGCTGTTCTCTGTGGACAGAAACAATCAAATTAAAGAATTTCTCGCATTTGGCATGATAGAAAAGTATTATTTGGGGAATTAGCATACTAATTACCAAATTTTTTCGAGTGTAAGACTCACATGTGTCATTAGATTATTGTTTTGTTATGGTACGTACACAATAGGGTGCAGAATGGACTAAATGGAGAAGGTTGAAGAGTAAATTCTGTGTTTTACCTTCCCCCAGATTGTACACTTTGAAGGCAGACATTTTCTTGGAGAGGATGGACTTGGGCAGGTTGAGCAGGGCGGGGTTGTAGACGGGGAAGTCGTTGTAGTACTGGTCCAGAAGCCACACTGCTGCACGCTGAATACTGAGAAACAGAGAGAGAACAAACAGAGTTCGTCCTTTTAACCGCCGTATTTCAAAACACAGAGCTGCTATCAGTGATTAGAAGACACCCTCATGGCAGCAGCATGAAGAACAAGGAAGTGGTTACCCAGAACATACACGAAGAATAAAAGTCTGCTATACTGTGGGAATATAGGGTCCATGAGACAGAGAAAAACACGTCTAGTTCAACTTGAAGATTAACCTGAAAGCCATACAGTAGCTGTAGAATAATTGCCATTTTTCTGAATATTAACTTCACCTGTGCTCATTCTGTTATGACGATAGCATCCTTTTTCGTTATTTTAAGGTTTTAAAAATGTTATAATCATACAACACAAAAGGAAAGATTCAGACAACTGACAACAGAATGATGTCCATTTACTTTGTTTCCATTTTGCTTTAGGGATGGATTGAGATTAATCAAATAATCCTGGAGAACAATCATTTTCCGTAAAACCTTACAGCTCAGGAGTAATTCAAGAAAAAAGTGTGATGCTTTATAAATGGCCTTATGACAGCCATATCCACAAAAAAACTGTTATCAATTCTTCCTTGAGAGCTTTGCGAAATGTCTTTGCTAGTCCTAGAGATGTCATTCCTATAAACAGACAAAAAAGGAAGTGCAAATATAACACTATTTATTTCTTAATAAGATTAACAAGAAACATGTTAATAAAGAAATCCAACAAAAATTGGAAACATAAAATATAGGAATGGCAAAAGTCTAGTCTCCTCTGGTTAGACTGATAATAAACGGACCAAAAGGCCTGCAGACATAACCTTATTTTTTCAAAATTAGATTCCCACAAGGAAAAGGGTTCAATTTAGAAATCTAAAATAAATAAAGACCCAAACAATGTAATACCAAACAGAGTAATATAATAATATTAACCTGAGGTGGCCCACGTTGTAGAAGCGGCTGGCTCCGTCTGTGGTCCGCACCACCTTCAGGCAGAAGGCGGGCTGCAGGTGCCGGACTTCCAGCAGCACCAGGGCCAGGTACTGGATGAACAGCAGCGCGTCCACCAGAGACGCTGCGTATCCCACAATGCCCCTGTAGTCCGTCTCTCTGGGCTCCAGCACGCGCACCCCGTAGAACAGCCAATAGGACGCCACGAAGAGGAACACCAGCGCCAGCAGCAGGCAGCGGAAGATGAAGAAGCGCGGCAGGGTGGCTCTGGGCGGGCGGAGGAACAGCGCCCAGGTGGAGATGAGGAGGATGAGGAGCTTGAAGGCCAGGGAAATGTAAAGACCCTCACACGGGGTGCCGCAGGGTTCCAGGGTGTCCCGCCAGAGGAGCTGCGGGAGGGCCAGGAAGGCCAGAGGGGTGACCAGGGCGAAGAGCCCCAGAACCCCGCCCAGCGCCGGGCCGAGGAACCGGCGACACTGCAGCGGAGAGGAGTCCTCCAGGTCCTTTAGCCGCGTCAGGTCCTCATTGGAGACGCTGTCCACGGAGGTGCCTGTGACCACCGTGGTGGTCTCGCCCCAGTTGTCATCCTGCAGAGAGAGCAGAGTAATGAGTGTTGGAGAAACATGGCTGAACACAGATGATGAAGAGGAAGGATTAGAGTCTGCCTCTGACCCGGTCGTCTCCGCGGGTCGACTCGGCGTCCAGCAGCGGCTCCCCCGGAGTCTGGATGGTCACCGATTTGTCTCGGATGCTGCTGTCGCGGCTCTTGGAGCGATGTCTGTCTCTCCTATCCCTGGAGACAAAGGATAAGTCAGGGATGCTTTATTATCAATGGGAGAAAATAATTTTGAATCATGTGTCCTTTATTTAAAAACCTGTAGTCTAGCTATTCTGTTGTGGTAATACTTTAAATGTATATCAAACCATAAAAGGGTGTTTTTACAATAATATATATATATATACATAAAATTATTAAAAATAAATTCTTTTTTCTTCTTTCTTCTTTTATTCCAGTATTCAATACATTATGTGTACATTTTTATGTGATTATGTTTTTGAATATTCTAAGCATTTTTGTATACTTCCAACAGGAGGCGCCAAACAAGTCTACACTTATGACTTAAAGGTCCCATGTCATGTTTTTCTGGTTATTACCCGTCCCCTTGTGTGTTATAAAGGTTGTAAATGGTCTGCAGAGTCACAAACCCTCAAAGTACACCCTGTAGCGAGTACAACTCTAACACAGAAGAGACCTGTCTATGCTGCCCCAGAACGCCTCGTTGGAGATTTCTAATTTTCCATTAAAAAAAATTGGCCCAAATGGACCAATCCGCGGAGCACCTCACACACCAGGATCCCTTGGCTAACTAATGGCGTGTTTCCACTACAGCGCGGAGCACGGTTTAAGAGGGCTGTGACGTCAGCGGCCCGTCTTTGGTTGCGTTTCCACTTGGCCTAGTACCGGCCGGCGGGTCCTAATTCACAGTTTTTCTGGCCTCATAAAATCGTGGGTCTAGGGCCAGAGACAACGAGGCTGAGTCGGGCTGAGTATGCTAAACTAGAGAGAGAATCGCTGGCAAGGGGGCTACAACTACAACAAGACGGACATATTTGACCGTGATTTAATTGTAATACACGTTTCAAAATGATGCCGAAGTAACAACATACTGATACCGGTTAGTAAAAACCATGAATTAATGCTTTGTCAAGTCTGCAGACAGACGGCAGGCGAAAAACCTTTTAAAATGCGTGTTTTCTAAATGGAGATTGGCTAAGCTAACGCAGTATATGCTCCGACCGTCCACACTCACAACAACGGCCTATACAGACATAAATAAAGTAGCGACTGTATTCACCATGACACAGGCAGTCTGTGGTTTGTACTTGTTTAACTTTTGTCTAGTTTCTGAACATATATGAGGATCTGTGAGCTCTGAGTGCTAACAGCTAACGGCTGTGTTGTTTTTCTGGGGTTCTCATTGAAGATGACGTCACGGCTCCGCCTACACTGCGTTACTATAGATACTACCCCAGTTCCTAAACTGTAATGGGAATGCGCCATAAAGTGAGCCAGTCCTAACGAGGCCTAGCCATACCGAGCGAGGCCGTGTAGTGGAAACGCGCCATAAAAGGGAGTCCCCATTGACTTGCATAGAGCTCCCTGAACGCTGGTAATAGACGAGTTGGGATCGCGGAGAAATGCTCTCCGCAGACCCATTCTCACAGCGTCATAAACCTTTTTCTTACTCAATATCAAGCCACACTTATTGTTTTTACTTCGGCTGTGAGTGTTTGTGTGTGCTCAGGATGAGTTTCGCGCTGTATCGCCGACCCGGAAACCTGTCCGCTCCTCGCAGCAGCGAGCCTCGCAACGTCCCGACCAATCAGAGCACACTGGGCTCACAGGGAGGGGGGGGGGCAGGAGCTCCAACAAGCCGTTTAGGACAGAGAGTGAATACACATACTTTACAATTTTATGAGAAACCAATGTGAGTTTGGAAAATTGAACAATGTAAATCTATTCTAGTAGACCTCAACAATGGAAATATGATCAGTAGAAATGGCCATGACATGGGACCTTTAAATTGTATTTGTATATCTCTATTCGAGAACTGAGGGATAATGAACAGCAAAGATTTTTGCAATTATTTTCTCAATTAATTGACGAAAAACTTTACTGGGGAATTTGGGTGTTTTGCTCAAAAAATAAATAATCAGTAACTTAGTAGTTGCCGCTTTATTTTCCAATTATTTCAGCTTTAGCTATTTGTTAGTAGTCATACAAAAATAGATTTGCTAAAATATCTATCAAGTGCAAATAACTGGAAATATAATTGAGCATTTGTGCAATGACGGTTAAAACTATTTGTCCATTACTTGAAAAATAAAACAGCAACTTATTTCATATTCACTCAATTGTTAAGGTCATACTATAGTGCCAAATATACTTAAGAAACCTAGTAAATTGAATGTATTTGAGTTCGGGATGATAAGACACAGCAGGCAATTTGAAGAGTTCAACTTTGGCTCAGGTAAACATTATTTCCGCTACTCTGTAGAAGCTTTTAAAAAACTACTGAAGACCTATCTTTTTACATTGGCTTTTGTTTATACTGGAGATGTGTGTGATGTGTTCTGTTCTTACATTTCTGCTTCGTGGTTATTGTATTCATGTTTCTGTGCTCTTCATTTGAACTTTTGTTCTTACTTGCGAAGCACTTTGTGAATTATATTTCTGTGAAAGGTGCTATAATAAATAAACGTATTATTATTATTACTTTCAAAGATGTTATTGAATGACCAATTAATCATCCAAATAATCAGCAGCACAGTGACACCTGAGGTCCTCTACCTGTGTTTGCGGGAGCTTCGCGATTGGGACGACTTGTAGGAGTAGCCCGAGTACGTCGACTCGTTGTCCATGTCCGAGGCCGGCGGTGGGCGGGGTTTCCGGGCCCCTCCTGCCCCCGAGCCGCCGCCGCCGCCTTTCTCCCAGACCACGCCCAGCTGGCTCTTACGGCTGCTGATGGACTTGGTGGAGAGAGCCAGGGGGAGGCGCAGCAGGTCCACCTTACTCCTGAGGGAATCTATCTTGGAGGCCTGGGAGAAGGAAGAGAAAACGGGTTACAGAGAGAAGAAGATAGATGGAGTGTTCGAGAGTGAACAGCAAGGAGGCAGGATGAGAAATGAGGAGACCGAGAGGGGGACAATTTGTCATATCAGACGAGGAGAAAAGCATCTCAGAGGGAAACATACCAAGGAACAGCAACAAGAAGAGGGGCATTGTTAGAGTGTTGGCCCAGAGGTGTGAGAGTGTGTGTGTGTGTTGGTGTGTGTGTGTGTGAGTGTGAGTGTTCAGGCACACAGGACATAGCTGGGCCCATTCTTCCGCTTTAAGGGAGTTTTTTTATGAGCAAGTGATGTGGCCCTGAGTGTGTTCTCAGCCAATAAAGGGCAATTACACCAACTTCTATTCTGGGCTGCAGGTCTCCAGTGTGCACGACATGCAGAACATCAGGACCATTCCAGAAAAACTGCACGACCTTGAAGAACATGCACAGTGTCTCATTTATACGAAATGCAGACCCTTTTTCTTCATGGTGGTTTTCCTTGTTGGTCCATGTCTGATACATACTCGCCCGGACGCCACATTCCCAAACTGTCCCCTGTGGTCTCCAAGGGCAACAGAGCTTCACTACTACAATGGGGATGAATGGGAGGCTAGGGCTGAGAAAAGACAGGAGGGGGGTAGTAACCACAGCAACCAGAACATCAACTCTGCACCCCCCTCCTCTAATTCTCCCTCAAACACACACCTCTGAAGACACAAACTAATCATTTACCAGGCTATGACTGTGAATCAAGGGGACTGTAAACACTGTTTGTTTCCCCAGAAGGTACGTTCCCAATCAGCCGTAGAACAATCTTAATGTTATAAGAAGTCCTCGCGCTCTCAATTTGCTCCGTGACCTCCTGTGTCCGTCTTCCATCAGACAGGCCAGTGTTCGGTAATGGCTTTCATGTGATTCGCACATGAGCAGAAAAAAATGGGTTTACGGGAAAGTGACCACAAAATAGCCACTCTGGAGTCAGCTGGGACACGGTTTTAATATCTGACGAGCTTTTATGACACAGCATCCATACCAGCATCACGTGAATGCTTGTGAGGGTAGAGGAGAACATAAAGCAGCTACAAAAATACTGAAGGAAAGCCTGATGCAGCCTGCAAGAAAACCTGCCAACTGGGAGAAGATTTGCTTTCCTGCAATTATATGAGCCCAAGCATAAAGCCAAAGCTCCACAGATATGGTTAAACAACAATGTTACTGTCCCGTGCTATGAAACATTAAAAACTCTTTTTATAGACGCTGCACAGGGGACACATGCCTCTTAAAAAAAGGAGAATGTGCTTGGCCTTAGTCACTACATCATGCATGCCATGCTGCACGATTTCTGTTTAAAAATGGAAATGACACTGACCTGATTCTCTAGTTTGCATAAAATTATCTTTGCTGCAGTGTGTGCAGATTTAACAAGGCTTTATCTTGCATGAAGTGGCTGTTAAAAGTGTGTATTGGTCAAATCTAGGGCCAGACACAACACAGAGCCTGAGGAAAAATATGCAACCCTCAGTGCTGAGAAAAAACAACTTGGTTTTATGTTGGAAATCAACAAAAAAATTCTCTGAACATAATTATTGTGGCAGAAATATAAACAAAACTAGCCCTGTCTGTGACAAACAATCCCATTGATCGCACTTCCGAGCATCTCCCACTGTAATCCATCCACCGCTCATTGATCCTCACTGGAGAGCACGCACAGCATCATCTGGGATGTGATAGGTTGGATAAGTACTAGTGTGGAAACAAACTGTTACTACATAAAGAAGCCAGGCTCAAAATATATAGTTTTATCTCTGGTGATAGAGTTGCTCTAAAAAGTCACTCAACTTGTTATGATTACATTTCAAACAAGAGTACAATTGTTTACTTTGTTAAAAATAGAAATGGTTCTTTTTAAGTCTCAGTTTTGGATGTTCAAATGCATGCAGCCTCAAGTCATGTTGGGGCTCCCGGGGGCCTCCAAGCCTCAGGGTGGCAGTGGGCCATCGAGGCGTGGCTTCAGCCTCAATACAGACTCCTTTAAGCAAAGCCGAGCCCAGGCTTCGAGGCCTTTACACCACAAACAAACCGTTTGAACTAAAGCGCAGGAACAAAGTTTTAAAAGCGATTTAAAAATCAGTGCGAAAAACCAGGAGAGTGAGACAAAGCCGAACACACCCAGGATGCAGTGATGAGCAACAGACTGGTGACCACACACACAGAAAACTCCTCTCGCATGCGTGTTTGCACAGCGGAGTAAAATCTACCAAATCTGTAGCGTTCCATTTGGCACACAGTGCGTAAAAGTGCGCGGATAAAAACAATGAACAACTCATGGAGAATGAGCTTTGTGGAAACCCGGTGTGTGTGTGTTCACATTGGTGGAGAAATGTAATGAATCTGAGATCGATACTGTTTTCTGCCAGCTCATCAGTCCGTGCACAAATGCAGCTATAAAAATATGTTAAGAGGGGGGAAAAGGCACAAATGTAGATTGTTGTAGTTTTGGCATAATTAGCCGTTGTTATGGTGAAAATGCTCATTCAGAAACCCCACATTTTACCCAGAATGCATGCAGGAATGTCCTACCTTTCTATCCAAAAGGGTAACGCTGCAGCACAAAGAGCCGAGCAACAAAAGTGCCTACAAAAATCACTTTCTCCCGACTCTCATCTCAGATTCCGCGCTCATTTACCACCGGAGTGTAACTTGATTCCTTGTTGGTGATCGCAGTTTGTTTTGTTGTGTTTTCGGCTGTAAAATCGCATTTCAAACCGAAGCACCGAAGCCTCACAAAGGGCAGCGACTCGCATCTCATCCCGGCTTCGCATCTGCTTTGTGGCGGATCCCCGCTGAGCTGAGCCGCTCCGCAGACCTCCAGCACCGGAGACACGGAGTCAAGCTGGAGAGAGAGTAAACCAACTGCTTCCGGGTGGACATCAGAATAAAACCGACATTTGCCCTAGAATTTTCCGGTGTCAGTTTAAAAAATAAAGCCGTTTTGTTTACAAAGGAACAAAATTGCATTAAAAACGTTAGAAAACACACGTATCTTCTTTAAATGAATGCACACATCACTTTAAATGTTAAACATATGGCTGAAACCCCACGAATTGTACATATTGTACAACAAGCTACTTGTCATATCAATAATGCACACATGTAATTTGTACGGATATATCTATATTTCGTAAAGAAATTATGAATATAAGCCTTATATGTACATACAGAATATATCTATTTTTTATTATACCTTCTACAAACCTTCTGCTTTTATTTTAAAGCAAAAAAAGTGAATTTCCTGGTACATTCCCGACTTTAAACCATGAAAAGCTACTATAGTTTTGAGTAGGTAATAGACTGATTTAGAGATCCTTAATCCTTTCCTACTAAGGGAATAAAACATATCCAAATGTATAACTTCAACACTCACTTAAAGAAATAAGATTACTAATTCACTGGCGACAATTCAACCCAAATTCAAAGATCAAAAACTCACAATCCACATTTCATTTTGTTTATCCAGTTTCTTTTTAATCTCACAAAACACATGAATCTGAGACATGAGCTCTGTTTTCCTTCTGTGCAGCTAAACAATCTCATCAATTTTTAAAAACAAGGGAGAAGAAAATAATTTATACATCCTTTTTTTTTTTTAAATCATATCTACAAAAATAAAATCAAATACGAGGACTAAGGCTTTACAGAAAAAAATTAACATATATAAAACAAGTGGGTCTGATCTCTCTATATTACATGAGTGAACACGATTTTTTTTTAAAAGACACAAAATAAAAACAATGAGATGATAGTTAAAGACGTGTGTATGCATACAGTAGTTTGCACCGTGCAGGGAAGTTTTTTGTGCAACATAAAAAAAAAAAAAAAAAGGGAATCAGTTATAGCTTGTTTTTCTTATTTTTTTTAGCCGGTTAGGGCGACAACGCTGATGTAAATGTACAATGGAAAGAAGAAATCATGAAAGATAAAGAAATTGAAGTGTAGAGGTAGAAATTGGAGATGAAAAATGCTGTATTTAGAGGTGGGAGGAAAGAAAAGGTAATATTTGTCGAGGAGAAGGAGAGATATTGACTTCTTTGAGCCAAATTATGGACAGCACATATATGCATGTGATGACTGTGTGTCCATAGCTTGGCATGGAAATGTTTCAATTTCAAACAAAGGAATCTTTTCTTCTCGATAACACTTCTGGTCTGAGCCACTTGAAAATGCAGCCATAATTTCGAAACAAAAAACATGTTCCCTTCTACACCTCTGGAAAGATATTTCACTTTGGTAGAACATTTGAACTTTTTAGCACAAATTCCTGTTGTTAATTCGGGGTTTCCTGCTGAAATCAGCCACTTTCAGATTTTTAAGTTGAAAATCTCAGTTTTGTTCATATGTGACGGCCATGTTACAGCAGTTAATTATCCTTTTGAAAGTATTTCAGCTGGTAGTGTGTTAATATACTTGGCTCCTGGTGATCAGTTTGGTAATGTATTGTCGGTAAAGTCAGTTATTATTTGAAACCAGCTCAAATAAAATCCAGTTCGGTGCGACCATCAGCTTGATCGGAAAATAATTCAACTGGTACAAAAGAAACACAATGTTTTCCTTGTAAGAGTTTAAATATATATTTTCTTTTTAGCGTGTCATCAATTTAGGTTAAGATAGAAGGCGTTTGAGAGAAAAAGCTTTAGTGTCAGTCTTTGCTGGTAAATGTGCCTTAACCATTGGTTACAAAAATCTTTTTTTTTTTAAATTACTCCTACATAGTTTGAGATTATTTGCTTTATTGTGTAAATACTCTCGTTTCTCGTGTCTGTTTTTAGGACTCTGCTGGAACCAGTAGCAGGTTAGCTTAGCGTAAAGACTGGAAAAAGCTAAACCGCTAGCTTTAGCCTGTCTTAAGCTAACAAAATCCACCTAGCAGAACCTACAAAGTTCCCAAATCAACGCACTAAATCTTAATTAGTCAAATCCTAAAAAAACAGGTGCAGTAACAAGAAGAAACTACAGGAACTAATGAGACATAGCGTGTTCATTTATGAGCTTTACAGATTCTGGTAGGTGGTATTTGTTACTTTTAGACAGACCCATGCTAATTGTTTCCCTCATCTCCAGTCTGTGCGCTAAGCTAAGCTAAGCTAAGCGGCTGCTAGCGTTATCAGCCTTTGCATACAAGTGTTTCCCAAAATGTCAAACAATTGTATCAATTCATTTTTGCTTATTTAACATTTGCATATACTGAAGCAGTTTTTTTTTACTTGGAGAATGTGCAGAGTTTGTCAAAAAATGTTCTTATTTATCTAATAAATACAGGTTGTTCAAAGGGTGGTGATGTTCAGTCCTTTCATGGCTTTGGCTGGATGGATATGAACATTATGTATGTGTGACTGCTGGAGAAGTGAAGAGTTGCTGGTTCACAGCATCTACCCTGGTATTTACACACATTAAATCTCAAAGTGTGGACAGGCGATGTCAGCTGCGATTTTTGGCAGCGGTTTGATTGAGGGACACGTTTTTTCAGAGCAGTTTTCAAGTTTGAATCTCTATTTGTCCTCTTTCCTCACTCAACATTGCCCGTCTTCTCCCAAAGCATTCTCAAATCTCCCTAACGCGACATGATCAGAAGAGCTTGGTTATCGCTGAGATCCCTGACTGCCTCTAAAGCAGCGCTGAAAAAAAACAACCTGCCAGCATTTCAGTAGTAAACAGCGGTTTAGGGTTTCAAAATGAACAATATTAACAATTCATGAATGATGAGTAAAACAGACTGGAGGATATGTCAGTGAGGCTGCTCCCAATGACACGTTAGTGTTTCTCCCACAGTGTGAGGATATGAATCCGAGCTTGATGAAAAAATAAAAATGATGTGTTGGTTTCCTTACCCAGTGCAAATAACCTGAATTATATAGACACAGTCCTTCGGCCACGGTGGCAGGTGAATCAGTGTAAAGCAACCAGTGGAGGCGGAGGGGGGAGGGGCGGGGACCCCCGGAGGCCATCTTGGCTCAAATGTCGGGCCCTAAATAAAGCCAGTGGCATCTCCTGTCCCTGATTTGTCCACTGTACATGACAGAGGGATGCATTGTGGGTAAAGTGCAGGGGTGATGGGTCCCTTCGGATTTTTCCTTAAATTAACATTTCAACACTTTTCTGCTCCGTTTCTTCAACCAGCTCTTTAAAAAAAAAAAAAAGCAAGACGTACAACTCCTTCAAAAATCCAACTCCGATTTTCTACTTTCAATTCTTCCAACTTTTTTTTTATTTCTCTTCACCGGTCAACTTGTCTCGTGCCTTTTTTTGTTCCTTCATACTTTTTCCTCGCTCCGTCCACGTAGAAGTTGTGCTGACCTCAGAGAACCTGGTGATTCCGGCTAGTTTCTTTGTATTCCAGGGAAACGGGAAAAACACAGCTAGGGTCCGTCCTGGGCTCTGATCGAATGGCCGGTGCATGCAGGGAGGAAAGGGTGAGGGGAGGCGGGGCTTAAGGGCCCGAGACCGATATTAGTGCGTCCTTGCGCCAACAATCGAGACGGAGTGACGTCAGAATCCCGTCGACTGAATCTTGGGCTCTGCTGGACTGCCCTCTTTGCCTGGTGGGGATCAAGGAAAAAGAAAATGAGTTTACAGAGGAATGCATCGTCAATTCTTGTTTTGTAAATAGTTAAGGTTGTTTCTCACCGTCCCCTGAGCCGCGATCCAGAGACGGCGTTCTGGAGACGGTTGCCGACGGACACTGCTGGTCCTCTGACTCCTGATTGACTAACGGCTCTCTGAGGGTTTTCAAAAGCGTGTGATGGGAATTCTCTATGTCCTGTAAAAAAAGAGGGAAAGATGCAGGAGATTATAAGAGAGCTGTTGTACACTTTGTGGGTTAAACCATGAACAACGTTTGACCCCGTTTGTTGCTCTTTGTTGACGGCCTTATCGTCCAAATGTAAAAAACATAAAAACAACTTTTGAGAGATTTAAAGATTCAATGTTACAAAGTAAAGCACACAGTTAGTAGGACACAGCATGAGGTACACTAAATGTTTTAATCAGATACTATAAACTGCATTCACTACAGTCCCCTATATATGGCTGCAGTGTTAGCTCCACTTCCCATGAAAGCTGATCTCTTCTCTTGGCAGCATTTAAAACCTTAATAATAACGTAGTTGTTGGTGTATCCTCGTAAGACAGAAATAAGATGCTCTAACTGGTTAAAAACAACATAAGAGTAAGAATGACGCTTTGTGATGACTGTACAGAAAACGTTTTTTGTGAGTTGGATTAGGTTTGAGTTCATGGTCCGACAGCCACCTTGTTGCCACGTCAACACAAACTCACCTTCAGCTGGCGCAGCTTGCTCGTCAGCCCCTCGATAGTGTGGAAAATCTCGTCCACATTTTTGATCACGTGGCTCTGCGGCGATTGGCCCGTCTCCTCTTCCTGTTCCAGTTGCATAGCCTCTGATTGGTTGGAGAAGCAGGCGGGTGCTTCTTGCTCGGGCTGCGGTGATATCACTTCTTCAAGAGGCTGAGGGAAGTGGCTGGCGGTGGGAGTAGGAGGGTCGTTGAGGTCGGGGAGGTCGTCGGTGGCGCTCTCTCCCTGCGCTGTAGGCAGTACCAGGTAGAACATGTTCCCTGGAGCAGAAAGTGTTTTTGTTTTAGCGGTAAAATCAACACCGACACAAAGATGATATTCTCCAATATCCGACATTTACAGAAAAGGGTATAATCTTCCTCTGATAAAACGACAGCACGTCATTACCCTGCGCGGTGGCCTCGCCTCTCGGCTCGTGTGATTGGTCGGAGGGGAGTGTGACATCAGCAGTGATGTCGTCAGGGACAGAAGAAGAAGAAGAAGGACCCGCAACCACAGCTAAGAGGATAGATGTGTGACA